GYYSCCCCCCCCTCAAAATTTTGAACCTCCTCAAGTCACGAAWATTTCAGGACTCAAAACATTATCGTTTTGAAAGGTTCAGATTTTTTCGTTTTTAGAACGGAATCAAAGACACAGAATGACCTAAGTGTGAATTCAGGGTGGCGAAATCTCAATCGGACTTGCTTCCCCTGGAGAAGCTGTATTTTGATTGGTTGTACCCTTGTTTGTGTGCGCGCTGTCATGGAAACGTGCCGCGCAGTGATGTGTTGATGGGTGCTGATGAAGAAAGATATTTTGTATCGGTTTCTCACTTCAGCGGTACGGTACGATTCTCGTACCCGTGCGTACCGGACGTGCAATCTCGTTTCGACAAGATTCTTTTTCTTCCCCTTCCGCCCACTCGGGTCTCTAGCGACCGTTCTTATCCATACCGGACTCGACCGAATTAATTTTGTCCTCCCAATGTCCTAATCGCATATGGAGCTCACAATAACCAACAATACCAGACTCCAACCATGACCCTCTCCGAAACCCCCGCCTGGAAGGCCCTTRCCGCCCACTATGAGGAAACCAACACCCACACGATGAAGGATATGTTCGCCGCAGATCCTGAGCGTTTCAGCAAGTTCAACCTTGAATTTGAAAGCATTCTCTTGGACTTCTCCAAGAACCGCATCAACGAAGAAACAATGAAGCTTCTCTACGGACTCGCCAAGCAGCAGGATGTCAGTGGCCTCGCCAAGAAGATGTTTTCTGGAGAGAAAATCAGTAAGTGATGCAAGCTGAATATATAGGAGAGGAATGAATCAAAGATGCATAWATCTTCTTGTTTCSTGCAAAAAWWRTTCGACGACGACGGAAAAAATCATTGTCAGYATGGATTTATTGGATGACCTTCCCCGGYCTAACACAGAATTCCGATTTTTGTAACAAAAATACTGTGCGAACYGACTTACTTTTCAAATCGGATAGACGAAACCGAGGGCCGCGCCGTTTTGCACGTCGCCCTRAGAAACCAATCCAACACTCCCATTATTGTCGACGGAAAGGACGTCATGCCCGAAGTGAACGAAGTTCTCGGGCGCATCAAGGCTTTTACGGAGAAGGTTCGATCCGGAGAATGGAAGGGACAAACTGGAAAGTCAATCACGGACRTTGTCAACATCGGTATYGGAGGATCGGACCTCGGACCCGTCATGGTCTGCGAGGCACTAAAGCCATACTCAAAGCGCGACCTGAAGATGCACTTTTGCTCCAACGTCGACGGTACACACATTGCCGAAATCCTCAAATCAGTCGATCCCGAAACCACTCTATTTTTGGTCGCCTCGAAAACATTTACCACGCAGGAGACCATGACCAACGCGGGAACCGCTAAGGCCTTTGTCTTGAAGGCCTTCGACGGAGATGAATCCTCCGTCGCCAAGCACTTTGCGGCCCTCTCTACCAATGCCGCCGGTGTTTCTAAGTTCGGTATCGATACCGAAAATATGTTTGGATTCTGGGACTGGGTCGGTGGACGATACTCCCTGTGGAGTGCAATCGGAACCCCTATCGCCCTTTCGATTGGTTTCGACAACTGGATGGAAATGCATGCCGGTGCCCACGCCATGGATAACCACTTTTTGAACACCCCCGCCGAAAAGAATCTCCCCATGACACTCGCYCTGATTGGTATYTGGTACAACAACTTTTATGGATCCGAAACCTGTGCTGTTTTGCCATACGACCAATACATGCACCGATTCGCCGCCTACTTCCAACAGGGAGATATGGAATCCAACGGAAAGTACATCAACAAAGACGGAGAAAAGGTCGACTGCCAAACCGGCCCMATCATTTGGGGAGAACCCGGAACCAACGGACAGCACGCCTTTTACCAATTGATCCATCAGGGAACCAAGCTCATYCCGTGCGATTTCCTGGCTCCCTGCAAATCTCACAACGACGTCACAACCGGAATCGGTGGGCCAACCGACCACCACCCCATCCTTATGTCCAATTACTTTGCCCAGACYGAGGCCCTCGCTTTTGGAAAGGACGCCGCYACCGTGCGAGCGGAACTCGCCGCCTCCGGAATGGAYGAGGCTGCCATCGAAAAGCTCCTCCCCCACAAGGTYTTCGARGGCAACAAGCCCACCAACTCGTTTTTGTTCGAGAAGCTTACTCCTCGCACRCTGGGAAGCCTGATCGCTCTCTACGAAATGAAGATTTTCACACAAGGTGCCATCTGGAACATCAACTCTTTCGATCAGTGGGGTGTCGAACTCGGAAAGCAGCTCGCGAAGGCGATCTACCCCGAACTTACGGCCGAGGGCGAAGTTAACTCCCATGACTCTTCCACCAACGGGCTCATTAAYTATTTCAAGAAAAACATGTAATTTAAAACAATCAAACCAACCAGGAAACTATTCGGCTACGGCCCACGTTCTTATCTATGTCCAATACARCTAYGTTGAAGCTGGCAGAGAATAGCAACCAGTGGAAGACGAGGACAACTTTTTCTTTTAATTTTAATTCAATTTTGTCGCTGTCATTCAAATTAAAAGAACGCTTGAATTCTTTTGATGAGGTATTGAAAGTGCTCCACAATAATMTCCAGTTGAATGCTACTTTTTCATTGCATTTTAACACCATGTCATTGTGAAGAAGGCAGAATGGCACACCATCAGTCACATGCATGCAAATTAAAGAAGYAGATAGAAATGGCTTGAATGTCACAAGATGTGATTCCAAAATAGAAAGAAAAAAAGASATTCCGATACCTTTCGAAGATTCATATCGTTGTCGGGGTCATTGTTATTGTGCTTGTCACAAGTTGTGACATCGTATTTTCCGCAACTGTGTTCCGATAAACGGGTGACTGACTCACTCGAATGCACCAATCAACGATCTTAGTCCCGAACAGCTGTTGGATATGTTTCAGAGACATTGTGACGTCTATGACGTATGCGTGTGTCGGAGTGTTACAGAAACACGCGCGTAGAGAAACGACACAATTATTAGAATTAGTTTCTGTGCCGTGCGTTGGAATGAGAATCTAGAATGCTTTTTCGTTTTCCGCTTCCAGTTTTACTACTAGGAGTAACGTATGGTACAGACAGAACCTTACAGTACCGTAACGTGAAGGGGTTCCGGTTCGGTAGATAAAACTGCTACGTAAAACTGCAGTAATAGAGTTACGAAGAACACCTGTAGGTACGTACGTGCTTGCGCGCGTTTGGATTTAGAAAAATCGATCATTCTCCTTCTTCTTCGGTTTGCCAAAATTATTGGAGGGTCAATCTTTTTGGTGTCTTTGTCGAAATTGGATTCAGTCARTATCATCCTTCCCATAATATAAATACGATTGAATACCTAAACACTTTCGAACAAATAAATAGATACTTTCAAAATGAACACTGCGTAAGTACACCACTTCGGACCTGGCTGTATAACTCTTGCTGAACTTCTCTCCAATGAAGATGCTGAGACTCTCGTGCACTCTCACTGCGAGACGTCGGATGTCGGAAAAATAAGTTGTGTAGAATCGACGGCTGTGGAGACTTCTTCTCCTCAAAATATATGTGGTTTCGGCAAAAAATCAATCGAGGATCGATAAAATACATCCCGTCTATTTTTTTCAATTCTCTCATTTTGAACCATTATCCATTAAATTTGCAAAAAAATATCTTTTGAATCTTTGTTTTCGTCGTATCTAACAGAGCTGAACTCCAAGCAAACCGCCCCGATGGATCGGCCGCTGAGGCTGGAGTCGAAGGACCTCGCAAGTACTTGATCGGTGGAAACTGGAAGTGCAACGGAACCTGGGACGAAAATCTGGACCGTGTCAAGATGTTCAACGAATGTGGTTCCATCCCCGCCAACGTCGAAGTTGCTCTCTGTGTTCCGGATATCAACATTCCGCAGTTGTTGACCGGTCTCCGAAAGGACATTGCCGTTGGTGCTCAGAACGCTGGTGTCAACAAGGGAAACGGTGCATTTACCGGAGAAACCGGATCTCACCAATTGAAGGCGATTGGAGTCACCTGGGTCATCATCGGTCACTCCGAACGCCGTGAGGGATTCGGCATGGCTGGAGAAACCGAAGAACTCTGCGCAGAGAAGTGCAAGGTTGCCATCGACAATGGCCTGAAGGTCATGTTTGTAAGTATTTTACTGGTTTTGCTGAATATGCCAATTTTACCTTTTCCGTMGATGGGAGGAAAATCCAAAATTAGATGGTAACAAAAGAATTCTCATCATATCATAATTTTGTTCTATCGTTTTATTTCCAACGAAAATGACGAAATAATCTGCAAATYGCACTTGTAATTATAAACTTACACAGGCCATCGGAGAAAAGAAGGAAGAGCGTGAATCCGGTGTCACCATGGACGTTTGTGCTAAGCAGCTTGAACCCTTGGCCAAGATCTTGACTGCTGAAGATTGGGCTAATGTCGCTATCGCTTACGAACCCGTCTGGGCTATCGGAACAGGCCTCACTGCCACACCCGAAATGGCCCAAGATACCCATGCAAGCATCCGTAAGTGGGTCGCCGAGAATGTGAGCGAGCCAATCGCCACGGCCACCCGCATCCAATACGGTGGATCAATGAAGGGAGCCAAYGCCGAGGCATTGTTGGCCCAACCCGACATTGATGGAGGCTTGATTGGAGGAGCCTCTCTCAAGGATGACTTTTTCAACGTTATCAATGGAATCCCAAAATAAAMGAGGAAAATGGTTTATCTGGCACCAAAAGGGATTTGTATAATATAATAAATGGAAAAAAAATAAAATAAAATTCWCGGTTCATGCAGAAAWTGCATCGTGTAAGRAAGAAATAGCTTCCGAAMTTCATTTGTTTTGTTCACATAGGACAGAGTGATTTCGGTTATCGAAATTACGTAYGCTTCGYMCCTCCGAGGTATTCGATTTCAGTTGCGATATTAACGTACCTACAACACAACGGAAGACATATTCCTGTCCTGCATTACATCRAAGTACGAAGTAGTTGCCAGGGAAAATAGATAATTTGAGCTTCAAAGATAAACATGAGTACCATAATCTTTAATTTCTAAAAAGAAAACAAGATTTTCTTTTTCTTCTATGCACGGTGGACGTGTTTTGTTCGACTGGATCTAAGTCAGGGCGGAAAAATAAAGTCACCCGTCGCTATTTCTTCGAACGCCATCAGTGGAGTGAAGTTTCAATGGCAATCAATCAATAGTCACGATAGATGCAGCTCATACGCTTTTAGCGTCTCGGAAATAAGAAAAGAATAGAGACCGATTGCAGGGAGTTCGTTGGATGTGTTGATGCATTTGAAAMAATAGCTTTCATCAACTTGCCACCCTATTTCTACAAAAAGGAGTGTCAACATAATTGGTAGTTGTCAGATTATAAGAGAAGCAACTACTCGTTGTGAGCGTTGAAATGCTAGGCTTAGTGTATTGCGTTTAAGCGCGCAATTAGCGTGTTTGCCGCGTTGCGTTAGGTTTTCGTGTCTCCGGTCATGGAACCGCTTTCAGAAAGTGTGTCGCTCGGGACCGCTCCCGAAACAACGTTTTGGTCGGGAGTTTTTATRTTGCTGGTGCCTCCCTTTGTGTTCACCGACCTCCAGGCATTTTCTTCCTTGTTCTCGTACAAAACAMGAACCCATTTCTTCAGCTCCTTCTTTTCAATGTCCAGCAATTTCTCTTCGAAGCTATCRTCGATCGCAAAGCGGTCGACGAACTTGCTCATCGGTTCCAGTTCGATATATTCTGCTCCCGGGTATTGCTGGCGAATCATTGCCTCGATGTGCCGGACCTCGCGTTCCACTGCTCGGATCACGTCCTCTGCGTACCAGGAGAGCAAGACGCCGAGTTCCTCGTCGAGATCGTCCCCGGCGCTGATGAACTCCGCTCGGTACCGGGGCATAAGTAGCGCCGAGAGATAGGTCCCATCGAAATCGACCTCGGCCTTGAAGCTAAAGGTYTCCGGACCGGTCCATTGGCTCTGTATCCCGGACACGTTCTCGATGCTTCGTCGGTTCCGGATGATCTTTTCGATGCCCTCTAGCATTTCACGYTCCACGCCCTGGCCGATCAAAAAACTGTGGTTGACACGAGCCAGGGTCACTCCAACGGCTGCGAGGAGGCAAGAGATTCCAACACCTGCCAACCCGTCGTAAATGGGATTGCAGCTGGCGTGCGATGCAGCGATTCCGGCAATGGCAATCACGATACCCAGGCAAGCGGCACCGTCCTCCAGCAAAACGGCCAGCGTGGCCGGATCCCGAAGCTTTGATACRTACTTCAACATCGGTACACCCTTCGGTCGAGCCTCCTCTACGTCTCCAACAGTTCTATAAAGAACATAGCCATCCACGACAAAGCTCATCGCRAGGACGAACCAAACCTCGCTGCTGATGTTTTCGACCAGGGTAGGGTTGAACAATGTTTGAACGGAATGCGACATRCTCACACCTAGGGTATTGCAACAACAAGGATTTTCAAATGGTATAAGATTTCGAAATCGAATCGAATGGAAAATTGGTATGGCATGGTGGCATGCTTGAATTTTGTCGAATCGATTCGAATCACGAAGATTTCTTACCTGCCCCCATGAAAAATGTCCCGAGTGCCGACACGAGTGCCCAAAAATAGACAGACTTCCCGTACCCATACGGATGTCGATTATCGGCTGCGTTCTGTGAGCCCCTAAGCCCAATTAGTAGGAGGGATTGGTTYCCGCAATCTACCACGGAGTGTCTGTAATGAATTGGTTGGGAATAAATATGAGCGGTAACAATGCATTGGYGACAGCAAAGGAAACGTGCAAAAACGAATGCTTGTGGTTAGAGAGCACTGGGTTCCGATCGTAACAATAGTATACCGTAGGACGCGACGGGACACTCACACAAACTCCGCCATCATGCTGCTGCTTCCGCTGGATACCCACGCTCCCAGCTTTGCAACGCAAATCAGCATGTTYCCGTACAACGCCCTCTGGACGTTGACGGAGGTCTTGACCCTGGCTCGCTCTTTTCGTGCGTTTTGCAGGGAGCGAACGGCACGGTCCGCATCCGGACCGAATTCCGGAACCCGAATGGTACGGACGCGTTTCCATTGGGCGTCCGTTGTTTTGTCGTCGTCGTCGTCGCGAATCTTGGTAACGTCGGGAGTGGGAGCCGTGGTCTTCTTCTGGTCCGTTTCGTGCTCGTGCTTTTTCTTGGCATTGTCGTTTGATGCCGTTGCCGTTGCCATCGCCATTTTCGAGGTTTTTATAGGCAACAATACCGATGCAAAATGAATCGTTCGGGGGAACAGAGTTGCGTCTGTCATCCCAGTGAATGGTTTTGGGGAATACCATCGGCGTTGTGGTTGTTTCCMCATTGCCGTTGTGGGAGGAAAGCAAGTCAATAGATCTTGATCTTGAGCTTCGTTGTTGTCTCTGAAACAATATTGCAATAGGCTGTTGCGTACCAAGATACCTGGTGGTACAAGTGTTGGTATTTTCGTTCCCTCGGTTCCGGCTTTGTATAGCTCTAGCTCTTGGCGTGAAACCTTTCGGAGTTGGTTTCCGTTCGAACGATCCCTCGGTACAGTGCTGTTCCCAAAGCCTTCGCTGTGCGAGCCGAGCGGACTGAAATACAGGGTACGCCTCCGAGCAAACTCTTGCCTGTGTTGGGGCGGCGCCCTCGGGGATTCCTTGTAGATGCATCTGCCACTGCCGCTTCGCTCGGCAGAACCATACAGAGATGGGGCCGAAAACCGCGGCGCTCGCATTCGCACCCGCCGAGTGGCATGAAACAAAGAATGCCTCATGACAAAACGATTCACCGCATCAGGAGAAGCGATCGATTTTGAATGGACCGCGAATGGGAAGGGCACAGAAATCAGAGACAGGCAACTGAAAGTGGACAAATCTCGGAAAAGACACCAGGCTGTTGTTGCTTTTTCCTTGAAGATGCTACCCTGCTGTTTGTCGCTCCGTAGTCGCACGATATCTTGTCTTTTCGGTTTGATCCGTTGTTCCCTTGACCAAAGCTATCCAAACAACCGATGTTCTATCAAAGACTGGTGTCACGCGATACCTTGTCGTCGTCTCAACAGTCTTGTKTTTTGTGTTTTACTTTCGTGATGCATTTTTTTCTCGCCGTTCAACGAACGGTCGTTTCGGTCAGTCAGATGTCAGATCACGCGTCTTGGTGAATCGAATTAATCGAATAAGGAAGTACGTATGTACTTTACCATTCTGTACGATACGTACGTACGTAAGAGTCGGATTACCATTCTTGATAATTTTTAGTCACGAGTTTACCTTGAACGAAAGAATCTCGGAAAAAAACGAGCAAGATAGACCTATGTACTGGTACAGGTACATAGGATTCGTTGTTTCGTACAGTGATACCCTACCTCGGAGTATCGCACAGTAAAATAATTTTCTGTAACAGTAGTACGAGTGTAGGTACGTATTGTCAACAGACTAAATTCAGTGATCTTGTTCATGATAATGAGATTGACGAGGCAAGGCAAGGCTGGTGTTGTCGCTGTTGTTGTTGTACACTTGTGAAATACTTGTATGCTCTCTAGTATCATCATTGCGTGTTCCCAGCAACGAGTGAGGTTGTTCACTAGCTGTTTGTGATGTAGTAGTCTCTCCACTACATCAGGTTTTTGAAGGAAGACAACATTACTGTAACGCAATTCCCTTTGTCTTGGACAATCAAATATGAATAATACCAGCAGAACGAGTCCATAGAGAGAGCGTGAACAACGATAAAGTTATGCAGTTCGGTGAAAAAATCGAATGTTGGTCTTGTGTTTTGATTCACATAAAATAAATAATGCAATGCTACGARGTTAACTTGAAACAAGAAGCAGAACAAATACTGCTTTCGCCTACGAGGCTAGGCCATGCTCTAAGCCCCTGTCATGCCACGCAATGGGAACCACACTATGCAACTTCGATTTGCTGCATGGATTCGGTCCGTATCTCGTGTGGAACTGGCTAGCGACATAGATAGCGAATCGATCCCGTTCCCCCCGAGGAGGGCGCGGCTACCATTCGTATTCTCGACAAGAAGTGGCATGGCAACACAGTGGGCGTGCCGACGCATCTTTGTTCCTCAGGTTTGCAGCCAGGGCAACGTTGCTTTGCTACTGTTGTTCCCGCCCCATTCCCCCRAGAGGGGGATACATGTAGTGATCGAACCGMRGTAGACWCAGGATCAATCGTACGATCCACGGAGTGATTGATGCAATCCACCCCGCTGGTATTKTTTTCAAAACCGATTGRCTGGTCGGCGGYGTTTGCTTGCTTGGTGTTCTCTCCACTCGTTCTCTCYCGAGGATCCGGCAAGMCGGAACGCGTGTTCTATCGGTGGGACCCTTGTGGTCCCTTGGACAGCTTCGGCCGGGGTGGCTGCCACCCGTCGGTGTACTCCCTCGAACTGCTRTCGTTGGGGAGGGAGAGAATGGGAAAGGCCTCCGGGCTGCCCGTGCGGATCGCSACGCGTTCCCGGCTCCCCCGGGGAGGCGTRAAGCCACCCGCCGGGGACGCAAAGTGGAGGAGGTGCTGCTCGTTCGGCGACTGCAGGGGCATCGTGAGGAGCTGGTTGTTCTGCTGGCTCGAGGGGGACGGAGGCCGGCCCGGTGGTGCCTCGCCCCCTGCCGATGCGGTCCTTCCCATTTCGTGGGCGTGGGGRTAGGGATGGGGACCCCCGGCGGGCCTGCGACGGAAGGCCTCCCGTCGGTTGCTRCCCCGGCTTTCCGGATCTCCGCCCTCTCGCTGCAGGTGAGGATCGGACGRTCCCGGGTACCGGTGGTGCGGGGGRTGGCCATAATACCCGTGSGGTCCGTGGCCGTAGGGGCCCCAGGAAGGATCCACGTGGGGTGGTGGATACGGCGGAATCCTCTCGGAGCCGTATTCTCCTCCCCCGTGACCKKGCATTTCGTACAKGTGGTGGTCCGGGTGGTCCCGAGACGGAGGACGAAAGGGTCCCTGCTGYGGCGGCTGTTCCTGCTGCTGGTCGGTGGGTTCGGTCTTGCTGGAGGCCGTCTTGGAGGAACCCTCGGACGCCGTGGCCTTCGAGGATCGCTGGGGCGACGGAGGCGTCTCCTGTGCAAATCCGGGGGCACCCGCCCTCGCTTCGTCTTGCTGGGAACCGTCCTGCTGGTCGACCCTTGGCTGGACCACGTAGACGTTGATGGGTTCCCCTTTGGCCCCACGCGCGGTGGGATGGCCGGTCCCCTTGCTGTTGAGGTACATTTCGTACCTGCCGTCGGCGTCTTCCGGGTTGGGAACCTCCAGGGCCGTTCCCGCCGGTGCCCGGATCCCGATGACGGTTTCGGACTTGTAGGCCGGCATGCGGGTGATGTCGTCGAACCTGACGTACATGTGCTCCGGCACGTTGCTGATCCCTCCGGGTAGGTACATGAGCTGCTCCCTGGAGGGTGGGTGTCGCCCGTTGTAGACGGCGGCCTGCTCCTTGAGGTAGGCGAGGTAGTGGTCGACCTTGCGCTCCTCTTCCTTGAGCTTGGARAGYTTCTTTTTCATGGCTTCGTATTCGGCCGAGTTCTGTACCTTCTTTTTCGGATTCTTTGCGTCCGAGGGGCTCTTGAACCCCTTCGCATCCCCGTCGGTGGTCTTTGATTTTCCCCCTAGTCCTTCCGCGACGGCCTGTGCCGCGGTTTCCGGTGGATTCTCGTTCCACGATACGTGGTTTTTCCCCCTTTTTACCAGAAGCCCGATCCCCTCGAGGACGTTCTGCGGTTCGTTGGTTTGYGKGTKTGTTTCGCAACGAGAAGAGAGAGAGAGAGAGAGATACAGCATGAAATAGTTAGAACAGATGCGTYAGAGGAAACACAAAGCATTGCSTGRWTGATACCTCTRYACGAGAMGGAAACCAACAGWTCACGTCCCATTTCACATTCYGTCGTGTACMACAGCACGAGACCGGAYCACCAGAGCGTACAACAATGMARGAGCTACTCACAGTAATATCGTAGATCCGACGCTTCTGTACCCCCAGCTCGGTCGCGGCATGGTTGAGATCGAGAGAGTTCTCGGGCCTATTCCTCAGTATGTTGACAAACTTCTTTGTGAGCAGCCCCAGGGAGGAATCGTACCGCGACGACAGCGGGGTCCCGGAAGCCGACGTGGGGCTCGCCCGCGAGGACCTACCCGACGATGCCGACGGTGGTGGTTCGCCTGGGATGCGGGGTTCGTGGTGGGTGGTTTGGGYGTTGAAGATTGCGACCGAACCGGAGCGAAAGCACCCAGTAGAAAAGACAAAGAAACGCAACAATGCAACCATGAAACGAGTGAGTGAGTGAGTGGGATGCGGAGGAAACACAACACGACACAAAACGACACGACACAAGAGCGTCCCGGCACGTACTTCTCCGCCCKCGCTTGTTGCTGCCGCTCCCCGGCGTCGTCATGGCCGCCGATCGCTTCGCCGACCGGGGGGTCGCAAAGGCCCCCGCGGTGTGGGCGGCCGCGGCGGCGGCCTCCGAGGGGTGGGGCGGGTAGCCCTGCCGGGCCGCCGCCGAGGACACCTGGTCGCTCGGCGTCACCGCCGCCGGGCCGCCCCGGCTCCCGGCCGTCCTGCCGTACCGGTGGGGCGGCGGCGGGTGGTGGTGGTGGTGGGGGGGATGGCCCATGCCCATGCCGCTTCCGCCCGGATAGTCGGGGTGTCCCCGGTGGTGGTAGGAAGGGTGGTGTGGGTACGGGTGGTGTGGGTAGGGATGGTGGGAGTGTTGTGAGGGGGGATGGTGCGGGTGGTGCGGGTGGTGCGGGTAGGCCGAAGACGACGAGGCCGATGGCGGTGGGTGCTGGGAATGCGAATGCGAATGGGAAAGCGAATGCGCGTGGGCATGGGGGTGCTGCCCGTGGTGGAGCGGGTGGGGGGGCAGCGGGGAGGAGGAAGTCGAAGGGGCCCCGCCCCGGCTTGCGTAGGAGCCCTGCGGCTGCTGGGCGCCGTGTCCCGCGTAGTATGGAGGCTGCTGCTGCTGCTGCTGCTGTTGTTGCTCTCCCGGGGGAGGATACGCGTAGTTTGTCATTTTCCGGGCGTTGCGGACGGAAGGGTCCTCGTTTCTGTTTCTGTTTCTGTTGCTTTGAGCCGTGTTTGGTTTGGTTCGAAGAAGAACCGATCGGCTGTTGTATTGGTTCCTAGCCTTCCTTCTTTGTTCTCTTCAGCGCGACGCCTGCAACAGTTTTGCCACGTGGTTGCAGGAAAGATACACACCAGTATCCTCCAAGGAAACGACTCGAGTGGATCTCTGTCGATCTGCCTGCAACGTATCCCTGTCTATGGATATCGACAAGCAATGACGATTCCCCAAAGCCAACCAACAAAACGAGAATGCTCTGAGCTGTCTAGAATGCAATCGAATCCCTACCAAGCCATTAAGGAATCCGTGTGATATCTGCCGTAGTTGTTGCGTGTTCTATTGTTTGGTCGTATAAGGTTGCCTCTGTTGTGTCCCTGTTTGATTCCTGGTTGCGCAGCTGGGCCAATGCACGTGTTCCGCTGCGTTGCGTTGCCTTGCGTTGCCTTGCGTTGATCTATCCCGTTGTTCCTACAAAACAAACAATCCACCGACGGGAATCCAAGCGCACATTGTTTATTGTGGAAGGGATACCCTTCGCTTCCCTCGGCCGTCGTTTTCGGCCTCCCCCCTGCCCCCCGCAACGAATTTTGATGCCGTCCGAGCTTTTCGGAACAAAAAATGAGGAGTCTTAGAAAGGGCGCTCAAAACGAGTCACAATTGAGGCCAACGTCGATTTGAGTCGTAGAATTTGGAAGGAATCGCATTCGATGTATACAACCCCGWAGGTTGTATTGGAGGCCCGAACGGATGATTCCGGCTCGAAAGCCGAGGTGCATGCCGAGGAATGCACGAGTCGTTGCCGGGACCGGCACGCTACAACCGGGTCGAACGAGTCGAGTTTTGAGGTGCTTGCTGTGCCCCGGAACACGAAACATGCCTACGGGTTCTGGTACGAGTTACGGTGGTACATTCGTACATTGTCATCCTTTAATCTAATGTATGGTAGTACAGTACCGTACGTCATATTCATGTATGAGTAACATACACTAGCAGATAAGAACGCATCGTACTATCCCGCGATTGGCSAAACGGTTTGATATGTGCGTACTGCACCTTTATTCGTACTGAACGTACGGTACGGTACAACCACAAAACGGAAAGCGCCAACAAACCTAAACGAACCTTGGCATGCCGTACGTTTCCTACTGTACCGTATGGTACAGTACATTGTACACCACCAGAATGTAGAGTGATAGAGCTTACGTACATATAGTACTACTGTAAGGTATGATCGCTGCGGTACATACCTCCAGCTCGAACGGGGAGCACTCGGCAAAGCATCTGCATCTCCTTGCTCCCCGCCAACATTCCGATGTACGACTACGAGTGCGAATACCAGTTGGTACCAGTACTTGTACATTGCTTGTGTTYATCCACAGAAAGCAATCCGAAAAGCCTGGCATTCCTAACGAAGCACGAGTCGCCCGGCCAAACGGAATCGAACCGTTCAACAGACGATCGAGACGCGAAGAGAAACGCAACGCAACGCAAAGAAAAGCCTCCGGTGTACCGTACGCAGAACGGATCGGACAGGCTCCAAACAGGTTTTGTTTCCCGTGCTCCGCGACAAGCGACTTTTTCGTTCCGCCAACCAACCAACCACCATGCCGTCGGTGTCGTATCTTCCGCCGACCATCGCGCAGATCTATGCAAAGGCGCTGTACGATCCCCGGCCCACCACGACCGTCGTCGCACAGAAACAGCTGGCCTACGCACTCGGGTATCCCATGGACTGGAGGGTGGAGCGCACCATCGTCGAAGAGGGGGGAGGGGACGGGGACGGCACGTCCAAGAACGAGAACGAGAAGAAACCCGCCACCATAGTCATCAAGGACCGAATCCACGCGCTGGGGGGCAAACGGAACCAAACCAAGTACACCTGGCTGAACCACGAAGCAGCCCAAAAGGCGGCACTGCTCTTCGAAAAGGAGGGGACCCTCGACCCGCGTGCCATCGAAGCCAACAACAACAACACCGGCGGCAGCAGCAAGGCAGGCAGCAACGACACCGGATCCCACCTGCTCCCGGCCACCGCCCTCTTCCAAAAGGGCGACGTCGTCATGGTCCGGTACGAGGGGGAGTGGTGGTCGGCCACGGTCACCAAAAAGCCAAAGAAAAAGAACGACGACGAGTTTTTCTACAGCGTCCTCTACCACGGGGACGACGCGACCCAGGACGAGATCGCCGAGGAGGACCTCAAGCCGGGCGAGGATCCCTCCGAGGTGGCCGTCTCCCTCGGCCTGGACGCCACCTGGACCGCGACCCGGAACGGATCGCGCTTCGTCATCACGGCGCCGTGCGGGACCGTCTTTTCCTCCAAGAAGGCGGCCCGCAAGCACCTCCGGGAGCTGGCCAACAAGAAAAAGGGCGGCGGCGGGGGKTCGGCCAAGAAGAAAAAGCGCACCAAGCCGGAGGAGGAGGACGCCGGGGATCCGCCGTGGAGGACGGGGGGGCACGATTGGATCGGGAGAAGGGTGTTCTGGACCTTCAAGCACAAGGCCTCCGCCCGGAGGCAGATCGCCATCGAACAGATCGGCACCATCGAGGGCTACATCGACGCCTCCGACACCGACAAGGTACGGAATCTTGCAGCACGGCACCGGGGTCCGCTTTTCTGCTTCGTTTTGGTGCATACCAGAAACGAAAGGCGGAAACGCCGTGGGTGGAACAATTTGGAAGAAACGTCATCCCGTCGCGAGTGTTGTTGCGTCTCGCTTTTGTAGCGCATGCCCTGCTTGATTGGCATGACTCACCATTGAAATTGGACTTTTTTTTGTATTTCGCGTTTTCTTTTGTTTCGTTTGGTTCCCTTTCGTTCGCCCAGGACGGCAACCCCGGCTTTGTCTCGGAAAAGACCGGCGAGCCCGCCAACCTCTTTCACGTGGTCTTTGGCGACGACCCGGGCCATCCGTACGCGCAATACCTGCTCCACAACACCGACGTCGAGGAATTYGAGATCGCGGAATGTCTCCTCCCGGAGGTGGCGGCGGCGCCGAGCGGTGGCGGTGGGGGAGGAAGCAAGTCGCCGTCGAAGAAAAAGAGGCGCCGGTAGTCGAGACGACGAGCAGGGAGTGAGCGATGCGGGTTGGATGGATGTTCAATTCCACTGTATATACTATAACTATTAAGGGATTAAAAAAGCAATCACGGATGTCTGTATTCTCAACAAGCTGAGATTCTTGTACAAGAGAATAAGTTAGTGGAGAAATAGGCATTTCCGCTTGGAAAACAGAGTTTACTTTTTTGTTCGATCTTATTCTTCTTTCATAGAGATATCCAAACCTTTTTGCATCACCAAAAGATGTGCAGTGGGCGTGGTCATAACACTCAAGCTCCGTCACCAATTTTCTAGGCACGTTTCCTATCAAAACAAGGCTCGACTTGTACTACTAATACAGTACAGTATTTCATTTCTTGTTTGGCACTATGCCAATACTTCTTCCTGGATTAACAAACCACTATTCACATTTTTACTTGTCCATATTATTGATAATGTTGTTCACACAACTTACTTCTAGTATCTGAAACAAATGGTGCATAAAAAATTGTTTTGATAGAATTTTCCCTTCAATTATGGAAAAAATGAATAAAAAGAAACAAACACCTCTTCACAAGAATTGGAGTCTCATCAATATTTTGTATTCCTTTGTTATCATGTTGACATATCACAAGGAACAGCCACTAAAACACTTTTTTTKATGACCAGTAACATACTAACAACTTGCAGCAAAAAAGAACTCCATTTGAAACGCCATTCCAACATTCTGGACAGATGTGTGACTCTGATACTGTACTAACAAACATACTACTACTAGCATCATTAAAATAATATTGGATTTGATTAGTTTGGCAGAAAAGAAGTATTTGAATTGCCCAAACATCATGGAGGAACAAAAAGGTGCATACTAGGAGACMATTCATTTCAAACAGAAGAACAAGGAAGAAGTACCACTAGTTGTTGTATTTTCACTACTACAAAAGGAAAAAATCCATACTTATAGTTGTAGTACTAGTACTACTAGTACTAGTAGAAAGGATTGAAGAAGAACAGTTTTTTGGGATAGGAGGAGACAAGGTAGTAGTACTAGGAGTGTAATGCAATAAAATTAATCATATTTACTGCTACTAGCAGAATTGTTAGTCACAGTGTAATTCTCCTTTGTAATGACATGTCTTTCTTGTACTAACACACAACTCATACTACTACTACTAGAATAAGAACTGACCCAAATGAAAAGTAGAAAATATTGATGAAATATAGTAGTAGTATGAAGAAGTAGTACTACTAATACTAGTACTGCCACCATTATAGTAATATTATAACAGTACTAATAGCTACTAATTGTATTCTTTGTCCTGGTGGTATTCAATAATGATTGCATTGCTACAATTCCATTACCACCACTATGCTGCCACTGTTCTTGTTGCATCATATAACTAATACTGCAAGTAGTACTGATTTCTAGTACTAGTACTGCAAACAAGAAGAAGCAACAAGGAGATCATGAATGATGATTAAATAGCAATGACAAAAGGACAAAGTTCTACACCAGTATATGTTAAGAAGAACTATTGAATCAGAATAGTAGAACTGATAGTACTAGTGATACAAGACAACAAGAAATACTAGTAAGAAAAGAGTGACCTAGTATAAATGTAACTCCTCTTRCATTGTTTTGCATTACATAATGTCATTTTGATTGATCTACTACATGAGTCAAAATTACATCTGAAAAAGCTGGAGAAATTAAAGTTTTCAACAAGAAGTAACATGAACTCTATCTATTTTTCATCTTGGGATGCAATCACGGCAGATTAGAGAGTGATGAAATCTAGGTTTCTGCTAATGGTGGGGGATTGTGTCAGAACAAGAAGAAGTGAAGCTGAGCAGTCAGATGCTGCTGCTGATGATTTTATTTTTCTCTCATCTGTGACTCAAGTGTTGGAAAATGATGAAAAAATGGGAAATACTCAAGGGAACTTTGTTTCCATGCTGGTGTAACTATTGATAGGATGAACAACAGCAGTAGTGTATTTTAAAATGGTGGTAGTTACAACTAGAATAAAAATTGAGGCTTGATGATGTTGTCAAATACTAGAAACAACACCAGAATCAGGAGGATAGTGGCAGATTGTAACTGCCAGAAAAAACTCTGCTGCAGCTGCTGCAACTGGTTTAATTGKGGCTTGAATGATAAATATAGTATGATAGTTTTGTAGTASTACTACTTGATGATCAGTAAGCTCTTGAAATTCTGGACCTACTACCAGCTCTTACTGGTAGTAGTAGGAGTCGAGTAGTAATAGGCAATAAAGGAAGGTGGTAGGGCTTTGTGGGTTTTAAAGAGCTACTACTAGTAGTAGTAGTAGTATGGCAACAAGATGTCCAATTTTCTGAGATATGGACATACCATCAGAAATTCAGTTTTTGGAGGTTTATCTCAAATGTCATGATAATTTWATGCAAGTTGCTGTCTCAGCAAAAATAATGGTAGAGGAGAGTTTCACATGATGATGATACCACTACTAGTAGTACTTAGCAATGATTCTTTGTTTGCAAAAAAATACTCTTGAATTAATTCATGACATCAATTTGTAATTACTATGACAATGTGAGATGCATAGTTGCAATGGGCGGCTTTGCACACTTCATACAGTAAAAAAATTCATGTGATGCTGGATACTAGTACTACTAAATAGTTTCTGTAGAAAACAGAAGAAACAACATAGTATGCTGGCTCATTGATGTCCCAGGAAATAAAARCTATGTTTTGGCATGCTGGGATTGGTGGGTATGTGGCTGATTCACATGGGGGCCTTCCATCAGCATTTTTTTATGAAATGATACTAGTAGGCGCTTCCTGTACACCCCATAAAACTAGAAGAAACAAAACACACAAAGAGAATTTTTTCTCATTCTTGTTTCAAAGAAAGCAATAATCTCATTGTTCTTATTTCTCTTTGATACTACAACAAAGAGAATAGTATTCTTGCCTAGKAGTAGCAGTAGTATTAGTAGTAGTACTAGGAGGAGAACACAATGAAGCCACTAACACCTGCTCTATTTAATTTACTACTTATTGAAATGATGGGGGTGTTTTTTTACTTGTTCAAACAAAGACAAGAATCTTGTCTAGACAATAATATTCTCTTTCTTGTTTAGAAAAAGATTTTGCCTCTACATGATTCTCATTGTTTTCCAGGTGTTAAAGCAAAGATAAAAAATAAGAATGTGAGCTGCCTGGGTGATACTCCTTCTTTCTTGTTGTTTCTATTTGTTTAGACATTTGGAGAATAAATGAGGGAAAACTCTGATTTTGGTTGGCAACTTTCTCCTTCCTTAACAACTACTTCCTCTGGAGTATAAGACATGGCGGACAGGCAGAACTGGAATTGAAAAAATGAAAATTTGATTTTTACCATTGTCAGCAGCAGCAGGAGATGAGCCAATATAAAATTTACAAGCAAACAAATGAATGAAAACAGGAGGATAATTCCAGCAGCAGCACCACCACAGTAGCAGACCACAAGAATAATTTCTTCTTATTCAAAGAGGACTACTAATATATAAGAAAAAGGAAACCTAGTAGTACTACTAGCACTAGTACAAGTAGTATTGGTACTAGTAGTACTACTAGTAGTGATCATTCTGATTATTGGAACTAGTTTTTTTGTTGGAACTACTAGTATTGAGGAATAGATACCAATAGGGGTCTAGAATTATTGTCACTATCATCAGCAGCATCCACCAGCAGCAGTTGGAGGATGGTGGTGGTAAGAAGAAGAAGAAGATMAACAACAAGAAACAAGAAAGAACAATCAGGCCCCTCCAGAACCCATGTAYACAGCCCCTTTTACAAATTCCTGCTCCCCTAGAAAACGTGGATTATTTTTGGTGAGAAATAACCCAMACTTAGACACGGCACATCATGGGTTATTTTTGGTGAAAAGTAACCCACAAATAACCCACAAATTTAGAATMWTTTTGGTTAGAGGTGTTCACTATTGAAATCCTTCATGTCAATTAATCATTTTTGTTGTTGTTTGAAAGAAGGCCCAGCAGATTCATGGGTTATTCATGGGTTATTTCTTGTTTCTTGTGCAATAACCCACTATGGGTTTGTGGGTTTGTAGCTTTTTTTGTGAAAAATAACCCACATTTTAGAAACATAGATTATTTCATGGAAAAAATAACCCATGAGATCACCCCCCTTATTGTTTGACTTCAAAGGGGGGGGAACAAGAATGSGCGTGGTGTCGTGGGTTCCTCTGGAGGGCCCACCAGCAGCACCACCAGAAGAAGAATGACTAAAATTAGTGACATTTAGGTATTTTAATTCAGCAATAGTTTCCTATTGCTTTCCCACATTACATTCTCAGATTATTGCTACTAGTAATATTAGTAGTTCAATAAACCACTACCAGTGCTAGTAACAACAATAGTACTAGTAGTAGTAGAACCTTATCCTTATTTTCATAGAATTAGTACAGTCTGGCCGTCATCCACAATAGCGCGCGACGAAAGATTTTAGCGGATCTCTTGATTCGTTTTTTTGATTCAGGTGATGGATAGATCGCCGCCATTCAAAATAAGAAATCGATGGTCGATTTTTGCACCTGCCTCGTTCGAGGTATCTGATGGGCACGAACCGTGATGCAACGGATCATCTCGCCTTTCGAATTTTCGGCCCAGAGTGACTTCAAACTGTTGGTTCTCGATCACATTCCATCATTTCAATATTCGCTTGAATGCACTACTTCGGAAGGGCAACCTATCGCAATCATACCAATCTCCAAGTAACAATTCTAATAGCAGCTTTTGTCTTGAGCACAGCGTTCCACCTCGTACCCACCACCTACTACCTTTCCAACACGTGCCAGCATCGAATTGACTTCCATCGAAACTCCCAACCACTATACAACACCATGAGCTCTCCAGAGACCGAAGAAACCGAACCGAAATTCGCCAACACCTCCGGCAACGGAGAAATCCCCTCCTTCAATGGAGACGAGCAGGCAAAGGCTACCGATTTCGCCAATTATTTCTGCTCGTATGCCCAGCTCTATCACCAAAAGCAGATGCTTGCCGACCACAACCGAATGGCGGCCTACCACTCGGCAATCCTGGGGAATTCGGACGTCTTCAAGGACAAGGTGGTCATGGACGTGGGAACCGGATCGGGGATTTTGTCCGTCTGGGCGGCCCAGGCCGGAGCCCGCAAGGTCTACGCCATCGAATACACCGACATGGCGAAGCACGCCCGCCAGGTCATGAAGGCCAACGGCGTCGAAGACATCGTGACCGTCATCCAGGGGGCCGTCGAGGAGATCAAGCTCCCCATCGAAGAGGACTCGCTGGAATCGGACTGCCCCGAACACCCCGAGCGCGTAGTGGACATTGTGATCAGCGAATGGATGGGTTATTTTCTTCTGAGGGAGAGCATGCTCGACTCGCTGATCCGGGCCCGCGACAAATACCTGAAACCGGCCACGGGATTGATGTTCCCCTCCCACTGTACGATGTACGTTGCCCCCGTGAACGACGAAGAAGAACGGCGAATCAACTGCAGCGACCAYGCGGCAACCATGTCCGACTGGGACGAATTCCAGGAGACRACCAAGCAGGTCTACGGCGTCAACATGGAGGTTCTGAAAAAAGACTTTGACAAGGAGCAAAGGGACTACTTTTTGTGGAGCAGCCGGTGGCGCGAGCTGCCGCAAGAATCCGTCCTTGCGAACCCCAAAGCCATCAAGTACTACGACATGATGACGTGCACCGTGGAGGATTCGAAGGGGGTCCAGGCGAGCGAGGAGCTGAGCTCGTTCGAGTTCGGCGTGAGCGGGGACCGGAAGCAGGGACCGATATCGGGCATCGCCGGGTGGTTCACCTCCGACTTCAAGTCGAGGACGGACGAGGGAGGCGGCGACGCGCCGAAGCTGTCGGCCCCGGCCTTCCTCTCGACCGGGCCGGAAAACGGGTACACGCACTGGGGCCAGCAGGTCTTCTACTTCCAATCGGGGATCCCACTGATGAAGGGCCAGACGACCCACCTGAAGGGGGGGCTGGAAATGACGCGCACCAAGGAAAACGCCCGGCTGTACAACTGCCGCATCAAGCACACCGCGACGAGAACCGCCAACGAGAGCGGGAACGTCTTGATGAGCAGCGGCGAGTCGGAGCAGGTGTACATGATTCCGTAGACCAACCACCTCGGAAGCGACAAACGAAGATAAAAACCATACCGAGGCATGCCACCCGCTCGTACCACACAAAATCACAGCACAGCACATCACATCACAGCAGAGCACAGCACGTCACACCACAGCACACCACACCACAGCACGTCACACACATACTCAAAATTTTCGTCGTCATTCATGTCTAAATACAGCACACAGTAACCAATTCACGGTGCTGGGTAGGGTAGGAATARCTCTGCGCAGCATCGATTTCGAAAGGCAGCAAAACAGTAGGGAAACAATTGTCAAACAACAGGGTACAGAACATCTTTCATTKATGAAGAAACAGATCGTACGAAAACGTTTGGGAAGACTTGTTTCTTCGTTCCTTCGATCGACAAAGATTGCAACGTCGTAAAATACTAGTTTCTTCCTTCATTCCTTCTATCACCATAGCGTCTRGAACAAAAGCAGTAAATACGCGAAACGTTCACGTTTGTAGAACAGGAATGGATGCCACGAATGAATTCCGTTCCTGGCGTTGTTCAAGCACCGTTGGCACAAAGCCGTGTAGCAGAAATGAATGATGAATGTTTGTGTGTGTGCGTTGGTGTGTTTGACGGAGTATAATCTATACTATAATTTACATACCGTAATTATCGATGTATATTGTGTGCAGTCGGTCCAATCGTTYGGGCGGACGAAACGACCAACCATCCCGGTGGTCGATCTACAMCGACGCCGACATTCCCTCGCTCTTCAGTTTGAATCCCACGTTCGATGGGGTTTCCGTTTGTCTTTCTTCGCTGTTCCGCTTCGTGTCGTCCAAGGATCTCCAGCGGTGTCCTCGTTGGCTTGTTTCTTTGTTGGATCGCACGCGTGCTTGCCTATTCCTCGTTCTTATCCTTGCGGCCCCAGAACTCGAGGGGCTTCTCGAGGCTCTTGTTCTTCATGCGGGAGACGGGCCTCAGCTGTCCGTTTTCGTCGGTGATCCACTTGTAGTTCCCGCCGCTGTTGACCATGTAGTCCTCCTCGGAATCGGCCACGTCCCGGTCCTGCTTTTTCATGGCGTCGTCCTTCCCGTAGAAGCTCGATTTTCGCTTCCCGTAGTAGGCGGCCCCGTTTCCCAGCCGGCGGGCCGTGGCGTCGTCGACAAAGGCGTCGAGCTCGGCAAAAAAGTTGGAAATGGCGCCAAAGACCGGGTTGCCCTTGTTGTTGTTGTTGCCACCGGGCTGTTCCGCGGAGAGCCGCGTTTGGCTGGCGGTGCCGCGGGTGCCGGCGACCGGGCCGGTGGCGAATCCCTCGGTGCCGCGGGCCGCGAGGAGGCACAGGAGGAGTGCGGAAGCGAGAAGGACCGCGGGAGAGGATTTCATCGAGACAGCCATGGTGTGGGTATCGTTCGGTTCGGTAMTGTGTGTGTTGCTGTGCGTGCGAATTGGATTCTTRGAGCTCTTGGAGTCTGCTGGATCGCCGGATCGGTTGTGTCAGTCGCTCACCCCGGCTTCGACGGACCGGGAGGCATTGGATCCCCCTGACAGAAAAAAATCGCCGTGGTAGTTAGCTTGCTTGAAATCGCGAGTTTGGGGAACAACGGAGCGAGAAAATTCTCCTGAGGTGGTCTTCTCCTTGTKKTMGTAGAARCAGATAGGTTGAACGTAAGGGACTGTACGTTACGGGTACTTTTATCATGCGACCGTACGGTACCCCAACTGGTAGTACCGGTAGGTATTTCATACGTGGGTAAAAAAACATACCGTACTACGGCACTCTCGTTGAACAGAGTGTATCGTATGTACTCGTACCGTAGAAACGTGCATGGCTTGTCACTAAGTTTTCCGCGTGCCCTGCACACGACACGGCCCGTCAACGTACGGTAACATACCTTTCGTATTCCTACTTCGATTCGAAGTACAAGAATGTATGTGCACTGTAAACCCCAACCCCAACCCCAATCCCATGTGCTGTGCTGCGCTCGTATGCATGTTGTACCGTACGTTAAAGAATTGGTTCCTCTAGTACGTAGTAGTATTACGTGAAGTACTTTGCTATTGAGGCGCCACGATTTCACGAATTGTGCGAAAGACTTGAGCAAACTCTATTTTTGGTAGGAGGCAGAACACAAACCATTTGGTGCAAATGAGTTGCCACATGTGGAGTAAGGAATAGCAGAAGGAATACTCGTGCTACTAGTAGTTCAGAGTTTGATTCGGACACCGGAGGAAGGGACGTAGTGTTCTGATGCACCTATCTAACAAGCGTAGCCTTGATAGCTCAGTTGGGAGAGCGTCAGACTGAAGATCTGAAGGTCCTGTGTTCGATTCACAGTCAAGGCATTATCTTTTTACTACATCATCGATATGGAGATGGAGGGCTTTTTACTCTCACACGTTTTTTAGTTTGTCCCGTCGCTGCATACCGGTACCGATACAACCAACTCTCTCAAAACAAAACWGAAGACATCAAAGCAAGGCAAAGCAAACCAATCTGGTACTACAAGACAACACATACCACACATACCACACAAACCCCGGTGAGCCATGGCTTTTGACCTTCGCAAGCGGTGTTCCCTTGCGTTCCTCGCGCTGTGGGCGGCCACAGCGGTGGCATCGGCAATGGTGGCAACAACGACGACAACGACGACGCCGACGACGTCCACCACCACGTCCCTCGCAGCGGTCCCCCCCGGATCCCCTTGCTCCGCGGAGGTGGTGGGGGCGACCGGCCGGATGGGAACCTTTTGGCTGGAGCGGCACTTCTCGCTTTCCCCCTCCCTCCCCGGCCCCGCGGTGGCCTGCCCCAAGGGGTCCGTTCCCGGGACGCGGACGCCCCCCGGGGCCCCCATCTACGTCGCCACCCCCAGCGGCGCCTACGGGGAGATCTACGAGGCCACGCCYTTTTCCCGGAGGAGGGAYCTGGTCTTTGCCGGGAACCCGGGCCTCCCGATCGACGACCGGTTCGGGGAGGCCACGGTCCTGGTGCCGCACTTTTCCGTCCTGTACGAGAACCAGTGGGCCAACAGCGAAAGCGAAAGCGACGGCGAAAGCGAAAGCGACTACTCGGCCCGGTCCGCCATCCGGGTCGACACCGACCCCGAGCGCTCCCCGCCCACCTACGTGTACGGGCGCCACGCCGAAACCGTCGCGGGGGTGCTMRAGGCCAGCGGGATCCTTCCGGAACCCTGCGGCTCCTTTGGGAGCCTAAAGGCCCACTCGGGCCGAAAGCTCCTCTGGGCCTCCTGCCTGTGGCTCCTCTGCCACGAGGCCCGCGGAAACGGAAACGGGAACGCCCGGCCGCTCACGGTGGGGGAGGTCCACGCCACCAAGAAGGACGACCTGGAGAAGCTGGTGGACGAGCTCCTCCCGTCCCTGGGGGAGCTCCTGTTGTCCGGCACCAACGACGACGCCGCCGATTGCGCCGGGGTCGCAGGGATCCTCGACCGGGGGGCCACCCTCGCGTACCTGAGAAACTATTCGGAGAGCATCCCCGGGGCCGTCCCGAGCGTCGACCTCGCCCGAGAAGAGTTCGCCGACCGGAACGGGGTCTGGCTGCGAAGAAGGGGTGGTGGTKGGGGCCGGAACGAGCAGCCCTATCACCGGGAGCTCCTGGAGAAGCAGGGCCTCGGGGCCGGCGGGTTCGCTCCGGGTGCCTAGGCGCACGAGCTGGCAGCGCAACCAAGGGGGCGGGGAGGTTGTGGCATGGACGAAACACATGAAACATTCCGGGCGTTGCATCGACCTTTCCTTCGTAGCTGTACGATGCTCGAGCAGCACGGAGGAGAAACAACAACAACACTTGGAGTTGTTCGTTGCAAATAAGTGATTGTGTGCTACTTATCTTAATCTAGTTCGAGACGTTTACTACAGTAGTTTGTTGTGGTGCAATGGTGGTGTATTCTATTTTTGGATTCTTTGTTGGTTCTCTAACTAAGTATTGTGGCGGTACACTATGGCACAGCCCCCCGCCCCCCGGGTCTTGGTGGTCCGGGCTCAGGCGGCAATCGCGGACCAGTGGTACGACCTCGTGCCGTCGATGGAGCCCCCGGTGGTGCTGCCCGAGGACCGAAAGACGGAAAACCGGTGGGGCTTGCCGCTCCCGCTGCTTGCGCTCTTGGCCTGCAGGGCCTTKCGGGTCGCCCTGCGGATCTTCCGGAGCATGCGGTGGTTGTCCGAGACGGGCTCAAAGGAGCAGGACCAGACGTACCCGGTGGTGTTGGCCACCGGCACCGCCGGCGAGGTTCGCTCGAGGGTTCCCAGCCGGAGGACGTCGGATCGCTCCGAGGCCAGGACCGACCGGACAACTTCCATCGTGGGCCGGTGCGAAATGGTGGGGGACCAGGCGTTGGAGAGGAGCTCCCGGACGCGAGAGGGAAGCCCCAGGGGGACAAAGGGCCGGACGCCCCTGCAAAAGACCATCTCGTCGTGGTCCTCGTCCGTAATGTCGTCGTAGGGCTTCTGCAGTGTGAGGATCTGGTGGGCCAGCAGCGCGTAGCTGTAGACGTCGGCCTTGAGGTTGTAAGCCTCCCGGTTGGCGCACTCCGGAGACATGTACCGGGGGCTGCCGACCTTCTGGGTCATGCGAAAGACCTCGTCCTCGGCCTTCGTTGGGCGGAGGGAGCAGGAGGAGGTGGCAAATACCTCCGAGTCGTCCTCTCCGCAAAAGTCGTCTTCGCGGAGCTTACTGGTGGGCACCACGCGGGCAATGTCAAAGTCAAAGACCTTGAGGATGCCGTCGGCGTCAAAGCCAATGTTGTCGGGCTTGAGGTCGCGGTGCATCACGTTCTTGCTGTGGAGGTAGGCCAGGGCATCCGCTAGCTGAAGAGTCACGTCCACTCGTTCTTCTAGCAAATACGACTTGGCGAGGGCGTCGCGGTTGCGGTCCTCCTCGCTGGACCCGTGGATGCTTCCATCGCAGGAAGACGCCTGGGTGGTGGCGGTCCGCGCCGAGTCCTCGAAGAGGGGATCGGTCTTGTTCTTGGAGGACCGGAAGAGAGAGAGCCTCTTCCTCCAGCCCTTGCCGTTGGCGCTTCGGGTGGAAGACAAGAGGCTCGCGTCCACAAACTGGGCCGTGGCGTCTGACTCGCACTCCGAGGCGAAAAAGAGTTCCCTGTGGCGCCTCTGCCACCTCGAGAGGCGGTCCGTGAGGGTGCATTCCAGGCGCTCCAGCACCAAAAAGTAGGAATCGTGGTGCCCGTTGAGGTACGAGTTGACCCCGTAGTTCGAGGCCACGGCGTGGAGGCGAATCACGTTCGTGTGCGAAAGGGTGGAGAGAATGTTTCCCTCCTTGACCAGGTCGGCCGCAGAGGCCGCAAAAAGGCCGTGGTTGTCGTAGAGCTTGGTGCGAAGGAACTTGACCACCATTCGGTCCGTTTCGTCGTCCTCGTACTCCTCCTCGATTGCGGGTTCCTCGCCGGCGATCGACTGGATCGCATAGACCGAGGAAAAAGCCCCCCTTCCGAGCACGTCTCCCAGCACGATCTTGTGGTGGGGGATCACCCGCGTGGCCCAGTGGTTCATGGTGGTGTAGTCCTGCGAATCCGTGGAGTTGTTGTCCTGCCCCCGCAATCGCTTGCGGGCGTACTTGACGATCCGCTGGCATCGCTGCGGAGTGAGGTTTTCCGGCTTTTGGTACAACTGAAAGGATGGCATGGTCCGTCTTCTTCGCTCTTGCTTCGACGTGTTCTTCTTCTTGTGGCTGCTGCTGTTGCTGCTGCTGTTGCTGTTCTTGCTGATGTCGTTGTTTAGTTCATCGGCGGTCATGATTGGTTTGGGTATGTTTGGTTGCTTTTGTGGTTGTTGCTTCTGTTTCCTTTCGGTTGGTGGGAGTTTGGTTTTATGGGAGGTTCCGAATGAGAGCATTTCTTGTTGCGCTGGCCCTCGTTTTTTGGTTCGTGGGGACTCTTATGGCTCAGATTAGCGGTTTTAATGCGGTCGTGGTCTGACCGATCCTGGAGACAAAAAGTATCACATGGTACCGGCCGGTACAGCGAGCGACCAAGTTCAAATTGAATGTAATCGTAACTTCAATGGCATACACCTGGGCAATTATAAGGATGGTCGAAGGGGAACACAAATGAGCTGCATGGCAGAAGAACAAAGAACAATGGTACATACGGTATTGGATTCATCAGGTTGAACTTCAACCTCCAAAAACATTACCACACATATTATATAAGCCTTTTGAGGATCAACGAATTCCGTCGAAAAATTCCCAGTGAGGAGAATGCACCTTTCTCGCCTTCCAACTCGCCGACTTTGGTCTTGAACACAAGGCAAACGTACCTGGGAATCGATCGTGGTTGTTCCCAGGGGTCATAATGATAGACCCCTGTTGGTTTTAACAAAAAACAGGTTGTGTTTGGCGTTCCTGCCGGCACGCCTATTGACAACGTTGGGCAAGGGTTCGCTTGTGGTAAAAAAAAAGACGAGCCGTGACCTTGAAGGCGGAAGCGATGCTAGGGTGAGGTCGTGCGCGACGGTACAACACGGAACACTTCTTCGCCACGTGGTGGAACGTTCCCAGGAGCTTCTGTTGGATTCTTGAGGAAATTGTATGGCAATAGTACTGGTACCAGCGAGAAGAACTGCATCGTCCATACGGGTACTGTTCGCATTCGTAGTTTTGAATATGCATAGAAGAATGACCATCACGCAGTACATCACTCACGTGGCTGACCTGGCACTAAAAACCAAAAACCTGGAATTACGAATTACATGTATGGACTTGCTCACCATTTAAGGCACCGCTTCTGGTCTCAGGTCGCAACAAAACATAGTACGTACCGGTACCGTACTGCAATGTAGTCTCCATTCATATGTTACTTAGGTAATAGTACCGTACATACATACCCATATCGAATCTCGAGGCAGGAGACAGGAGACAGCTCGCCCGTCAGACATCCTGTGGTATGTATGATAGATACCTTGATAAAAACTCGAACGTACCACGTGCAGACATGATCGATTGGCTTCTGCGAGGATCTTTGTCGTGCTCGTACTTTTTGGGGAGAAAAAGCAACGGCCCGATCAATTCGAAAAACTCGGAACGACGAACAAAGCATGGTACTACTGTATCGACCACGATCGACATCGCCATAGACATCACCAGCACTATCGCCATTGCTATCGCTATCCCTGTCGCTATCGTTGCATCAATACCAACCAATGCCCCAGGCACCMATACGTTGAACAGGAACGAGTGCAATCGACAATAAGCAATCCTTGAAGAATTCCAAAGCAGAGCTGCGCAACAAGCAACAACAGCAACAACAACACACCATGCCTGAACCCACGGAGATGGAAATCGACTCGGAGGTCGTCCACGAGGCCGTCATGCACGACAGCAGCGTCCTCCCGGAGGACGAGGAGGACATCGAGGACCTGCTGGACCTCGTGGACAACGCCAAGGTCGAGTCGAACGACACGATCGCGCTGCTGAAGCAGGTGACGGAATCCCCCAAGACGGGCCCCAAGGCCACGCAGACGAAGGAACGGGCCGTCTACGACCTGACGCGGGCCTTTTGCAAGCAAAAGAACTACTCGGAGGTCGTTGCCTTTCTGGAAGCCTCCTCCTTCTTTCGGTCCGTGAACAAGGCCAAGTGCGCCAAGGTCGTCCGGCAGGTCCTCGACATTGTCTGCGGACTGGCGCCCGAGGAGTACGACATGCAGCGCGAGATCTGCGAGAAGGTCGTCCTCTGGTGCCGCCGGGAGAAGCGGACCTTTCTGCGGCAGCGTGTCGAGGCCAAGCTGGCCGGCATCCTCTTCCACCAGAACGTCTTTGCGGAGGCCCTGCTGCTGATCGACGAGCTCCTCGGGGAGCTCAAGAAGATCGACGACAAGCAGCTCCTGGTGGAGACGCACCTGATGGAGTGCAAGATCCACTTTGGCCTGCGCAACGTCCCCAAGGCCAAGTCGGCCCTCACCGCCAGCCGGACGGCGGCCAACGCCATCTACGTCGCTCCCAACCTGCAGTCGGAGATCGACACCATGAGCGGGACCATCCAGACGGAGGAAGGGGACTACAACACGGCGCACTCCTACTTTCTGGAGGCCTTTGAGCAGCTCGACCAGATGAACGAAAAGCCGCAGGCCACCAAGAGCCTCAAGTACATGATGCTCTGCCGCATCCTCGACTCCCTCACCAAGACGCTCAAACTCTCGGCCAAGGGGGCCATCGGGGTCGACAAGACGGGGGCGGCGAGCGGACTGGACATTAGCAACCTGGTGACCTCCAAGCAGGCCGTCAAGTACGCCGGCCGGGACCTGGAGGCCATGCAGAGCATCGCAAAGGCCGCCTCGGACCGTTCCCTGCGCGGCTTTGAAAAAGTCCTCGCCGAATACGACGCGGAGCTCCAGTCCGATCTGCTCATCAAGCACCACCTCAAGATCCTCCAGGAACAACTCCTGGAGTCCAACCTCATCCGGATCATGGAACCCTACTCCTGCGTCGAGCTCACCCACATTGCCAGCCTCATGGACCTGCCGCTGCCGCAGGTCGAGCGCAAGCTCTCGCAGATGATACTGGACGGAAAGTTCCAGGGGATCCTAGACCAGGGCAAGGGGCAGCTCATCATCTACGAGGAGGGCGAGAAGGACAAGGCCATGGAAAAGGGCCTGGAGGTCCTGGAACACATGGACGAGGTGGTCACGACCCTCTTTGAGAGGTCCAAGGCCCTCAGGACGCTCATGCTGTGACGACGGGACAGCCGGCAAGCCAGCCCGCGAACGGCCGCGCCGATGCCCATGGAACATACCGACCCCGCCCACGCAACTACAGTAGTAAAAAAAATAAAAAACACAATACACGAACCCGGTTTGCTGGCATTCGTTCGTTGCTGCTACGGATTCAGCAGACGTAGAATAGTATTGTCAATTGTGGTATTGAAAATAGATGAATGGGTGCCATTTCTCGTACTAGTAACATCACTACTAGTATTGCAGCAATCATAGTGCCAGCACGATATTCTGTAAAGAACGGAAACAGAGAACTACTTCTAGTAGATAAAACATCACTACTACTACTAGTCAAACAGTCTACGTGCTTCTGCCAACCTCCAAAAAATACCGGCACAAACGCCAAACACAAGGCGAACGAAGGAGATGTCAATTCGTGCAGGATGCTAGCCAATGGATACTTCAATGCACGTTCATAATGTTCATAATGGCCTCCGTCGAAATCGTCGACGTCTTTGCGGCCTTTCGCGGCTCTTCCCCGCCGCCCTCGGTACCCTCCGCGTTCTTTCGCTTCCGTCGCCTCTTTCGCTTTGCCTTGGCGGCGACGGGTGCGTCCTCCCTTCCTCCGCCTCCGTCGGCCTTCTCCCCGCCGGTCGTCTTGGGCTCTGGCTGGCGCGTGATCTCCGACAGGAACTTCTCCTCCGAGGTCGACAGGAGCTTCCCGACCCTGTGCCTCCACTCCTTTCGGTTTTCCGCGTACGCGTCGACCAGGCACGAGTCGACAACGCTCCGGCCCATGGGGTTCCCGTGCAGGCGGTTCCCCCCGGCCACGAGCTCCTCGACGAGCCTGGCCTTGTCGTCGATCTTCGGGAGCGCCCGAAAGAGCTTCTTCACAGTGTGGTGGCCCACCCGGTCCGTCGCGAGGGACGTCCAGGACCCGGCCATTCGTTCCCGGAGGTCCTTGCAGGCGCCCGCAAAGATCGGGGTCTTGACCGGGCCGTCCAGGATTCCGTCCATCAAACAACGGCTGCCGAGGCCGTCCCTGGCGATCGAGACCAGGTCCTCCGCTTGCAGGCCACCAATGATTCCGTCGAGGACGTCCTGGCACAGGCGGGGGGAGAAGCGGAGCATGTGGTGCACCGATCGACACCCCGCCGCGTCGAGGGTGATGCGCTGGTCGTCCCCGGGATTCCGCCTCAGGCCGATCAGCTCGGGGATGCAATCCTTCAGCTCGACGGAAGAGGCCTTTTTTCGTTGTTTCTTCTTCTTGCCGCCCTCCTCGGCGGTGGCTTCGGCATCGTTGCTTCCGCCGCTGCTCTCGCCCTTCCAGGAGAGAAAGCCCAGTCGGACCGCCTTGAGCAAGCCGTCCTGTTCGATCCGGTACCGGGCGGCGAGCTCGGTGGCCCTCCACAAGATCCCCCGGCGCTTTTTCGCAGGATCGATCGCCAGACCGCTGGAAACGACCTTCTCGGCCACCTTCAGAACCGTTTCGGCCTGTTCCTTGCTGCGAACGGTGGTCAGCATCGTCTGGACGACAAAGTTCGAAACCGGGTGCTCCGCGTAGTCCTGCAGCGTCTGGGCCGTCAGAAAATCACCGTATTTCAGGAGCGAATCGTAAAATCCGTCCGGGCACAGCCTCATGATGGTTTCCAGGACGTGGGATCCACGAGGTTCCCCGGAAAGGCCGTAGATGACGTCGCTGGCGTATTCCTGCTGGTCGGCCCCCTCCTGCCAGCACAGAATCCGTTTGACCGCCTTGTCCGCCGGGGAGCCCTCCGCATAGCGAGGCTCGGTCTTGGCGATCCCCATTCGAAAGTCGGCGATCGAGTTGTTGGCGTTTTTCTTTGCGGCCTCCGGGTCGGAGCCGTTTCCCTGGGGCACCGAGAATTCTTCCCGGGCCCCGTCGGCTGCATAGGTCAGCACCCGCACCAGGACAATGAGCAGGGGCCCGGCACTGGAGTGGCACGCGTGTTGCTGGAGCTCCCCGGGATCCTCGGAAGGGGTTCCTAGCAGAGCACTAGAGAGGGATTCAAGAGTCGAGGCAAACAAGCCCGGATCGACCCTGGGATTGGTTTGGTACACGACGTCCATGGTGCCGGCGTGGGGAGCGGCGTCTCCGGTGGGGCTGCTGGCATCGGCCCTCGGCTTTTTCTTTTTCTTCTTTTTGGGTTTGAGGCGGCCCCGGATCGCGCCCCCCGTCTGGTCGAATCGTTTGTTGTTGTTGCTGCCATTGCCGCCGCGGCAGGCTTCCAGGGAGACGCCCCCGAGGACGCACAGCAGGGTGCGGAGGACGTGCGAACCGCAAAGATGCACCGCGAGGTCCGGGCCGTGCGGCGAGAGCTCCTCGACGATCGCCTGGATGCAGTCGTGCAGCGACGGGAGTGACTGCTCGGTGCCCTCGTCCCGGAGCGAGGGGGGAGCTTCCTCGTGCATGGCGAGATCGGCACCTGTGTCGTCGCTGTGCGCCGAGGAGGACAGCTGCAGTATCGTTTGGAGGACGTGGGATCCATACCGGTGCGTTGCCAGGTGCAGGTAATAGCCCCTGCAGGCGTTCAGCAAGATCCGGGAGGCGATCTCGGAGTACGGGGCCGCGATCTGCGCAAGGATTTCGATCGATTGCGAGCCGTATTCGTCCCCCGCCAGCGACGCTATTTCGCCCTTGACTTCTTCCAGGGCGGAAAACGCCGCTGCCAGGCTCTGCGGGAAGAAATCGTCGTCGGCGTCGTGCTCGCCGACGTCGGCTCCCGTGCCCGCCCCCGAATCCTTTGACAGAAAGCGAGCCACCTCTTGGTGTGCGGAATCGATGTCCAGGGGAAGACCCCGCAAATAGGCTATTGTTTCGCTTGCCGGCCGTCTCGGACGATGGTATCCTTCGTCCATTTTCCGGTTCTTTGGTTTAGTTATTCCAAGTATTCGACGTTGCAAGAAGAAAGATTTTGCTTTTGTAGTGAATACAAGGATGTGTGTTCTTGTTCTTGTTGTTTGTCGCGGATCACGGAAACCAAAAATCTCAAATCGGGAACCGGAACGAAAAGGAAATCGATGGTTGTGATGTTGGTTGCAACATTCATATGGTACATACGTTTACATAGTACTCTGAGTACCGATTATCCAGTACGAAGTATCTAGTTTGACACGCTGATGTAAAAATTCTGTTCCGGCCAGCTCTAGTTCGGACGGACGGCTCGACAGATTTTGGAGATTCGATCTTCAAGCAGTTTTGAATCTTCCGTTCAAATTTTGGGAAGCCTGAGATGGGGCGGGCGGGATGAAATAGTTTTTCTTTTCTTTTTTCTCAGACAGAGCGACATAGTCGTACGGTTACCGGTACTTTAACTGGAGATTGACAAGAAGTACAAATACTTGTACTACGTACGGACGTAATTTTAAAATACCGATAGATAGTGCCTCTCCTACTTACCAGGTAGAGTATGGTACTTCTACTTCGTAACGACAACGAATACTTCTAATTATTTACGTTTGCTCTTGAAAATGAATTTACGAGAATCTCTCGTATGAGGCATGGTAACAGACTTTTTCTTCTGGGCGTCGTTTGTTTTCCTCCATCGATCCATTAAAATACGGTTCAAAACCGAAGATACATCACCTCCACTTCGTTTCGGGACTCCCAGCCACCTCGGATCTCGACGAATCGGATTGTGTCGCATTGTATCGGCGTACCGTAACACGCAATTTTTAGTCTTTTTCAAAAGTACGGTCCTTGGTAGGGTTGTCTTGGAAAGTACTTGTAATTGACAACTTGTTTTCTTCGTCTCTAGCGCATTCGAACACACGAGAAATAGCCAACTTTCCAACTCAATCTAGCCACGGTCATATCAGATTCGGAACTGTAGAACAAGGTCACTGAATAAAACACGGCAATAGGACGGAAAGACTGTCGAAGAGAAACAACGGCAATCGAACAAATTTCGCTTGGCAGACCGATTTTTTTATCCGTGGCCCGAGACATCATTTTTGTGGCTCCCTACCACTATTGTAATAAAGCTTTGAGTTATTGGTACGTAAATGCCATTCCAAGTGGTCATACACCCCTCGAGTCGTCGTCGTCGGTTGCATTTCATTGTCGCTCTCGTCATCGTCAGTCGTCAAGACTGTCGCCGGTAGGTATTTTTATGGAAAACGATTCTTTGACTTCTCCGACTCAATGTCACACCAAAACGGCAAACCTGTATCCTACGGCACGATTACGCCTCTTTCCAAAAATTGGTACTCGTAGTTGTTTGGCACAGCAATGAAAGGAGAAAGAAAACAAGCATGTCTCGAAGAACGACGATGCGATTTCAGTCGCAATTTCAACCTATTTGTGCCCCTCTCATCACAGTTTATCCCGCTTGTCTACTTCATCGGCTGTTGCCAATCTAAATCACATTATTTTCATTTTTGCTATTATGGACAGAGGAGACAACGGAACTCAGCAGGTAACGAAGAATCATCGAGTGATTCCGAAAGTTGTGAGAGCGAAGAAACAAAACAGCATAGTTAAGGTCGAGTTCTTTTGCGGGGGGAAGACGGAGAACGATTGAATACAATGGACCAACCAGCTTCAACGAATGAGAATGTGGGTTCCGGGGTGGGGTATAGCGTCGTGAACGATTTGATGCGAGTCTACGAGAATTTGACCMAATCCAGCACACCGCAGGCAAGAGTACCCGACGCTTCGAAGGCATTGAGTATTGCTTACAACACCAATAACAATGGAAACAGCAACAGCAACGTACCGGCACCACCAGCAGCGGCACCACTGTACCCACCACAACCTCCGATGGGGTATCCCATCCCACCACCTCCTGGGTATCAACAGCAGCAACACCAAATAGCATCGGCTACAACAACAGCACGAGCACCAAAAAATCCTCTTCACACATTATCAAAGGCACCTTCACAAGCACATCCAACCTCTGACAACAACCAAGAGGGAGATGGACCTCCAAACGCGGCCTCTTATCCACAGCAACAGCAACAACGACAGGGAACGTCTGCATACGCTCCTGCCCCAATGGGAGAAGCCCAGCCAGGTTCTCCCCCGCAGAGTGGCAACAAAGATGGAGGAAGCCACCATAGCGCACAACCCCCCGGAGAGGAAACACACCACGGAAACCATAACATAGTTAGGAGCTCTAGCATCATCTCCAACCAACAACAAACTGCGGATGCCTCTTCAGAGTCGGACAAGTCCGGTTCCGGGGGTCGATCTAGGAGAAAACGAAAGCAGCAGCAAGAAGGGGTAAATAGCAGCGGCGGTGGGAAGAAAGGCACAAGAAATAAAAAGTCCAAAAAGGAAGACGGTCGTTGGTCGAAGCGATTCACTTGGCCGGAAGATTTGCATCGCGATTTTGTGTCGGCAATATTTGACGTGGGATTGAAGCACTCCTCTCCCTCGGCCATTATGGAGCACATGCCAAAACACGAACAGATCACTACGGAGCGAATCAAATCGCACTTGCAAAAATACCGTCTCCATCGTGTCAAGTCCAAAAAGGAATTCATTTCCTCCTATGAAGCATCGTTACGTAACTTTCAGCAGAACCAAAGCAATGTGAGCACCCTGGTTTCTGGCAGCGGCGAAGTGGCTGCTCATCTGACATCTACAGCCCTTGGAACTAACAAGAATGGAAGTTCTGGAACGGTTTCGAAAGAGGGTGCCGATCATTCCAATGGCGCTCTGGCTGTGGTGCACAGTGGCGATCGTCCCAAAAATATTTCCCAGCCAATCGATGATGGAAATGACTCGTTGATGCTTCCCCAGCTGACAGAAGAAGAAAAGCAGTCACCGATAGGGGCTGCTATGGGATATTTGATGGGATTGTTCTTTTCCCTCAAGCAGCAACTCGTGATTCAGAGATCACTGGAAGCTTCGGGAGAAAAGGCCAAGGGGAATACGATGTTCTCGTCTTCCCCGGTTGCCATTGCCCCCGGGAGCACCAACATAATCCCTGCAGCAGCGACTGCCACTGCAGCTGCGGTTGCTGCTGGTGTTGAGTTTGCAGCGAATGGCACGATGCAACAGTCGCAGCAACTATCAGCCCCTGTCTCTATTAGATCAAAGATGGAGGAAAATAGCATGATGAAACGAGAAATGAAAAACCAAATGGCACTTCAAAACAAAATGAGAGCTCTCAAACAGCAAGAACTTGCGAAGTACAACAACATCAATAATCAGGAGGCTGTTCCAGATCCGGTAATGAATACTGCAGCTCAGCACGGCGGCAGCACCGACCCCCATTTTTCGGAGACTGGTGGAGGTATCGATAGAAGCAGCAACAGTATGCTAGGGGTCCATACCGTGAGAGTGGAGCAAAAGCAACACCAACCAATTGGTGGCAACAACAGCAATGCCGTTGTAGCAACACAGTCCGAAATGGCCGGAACTGACATGTCTTCTGGACAGGCATACTCAAACAACAACGACACCTCCATGCTTGATGCGGAAGATTTCTGGCACACGGATGTCGTTGACGAACAGCTCTTTGAATTTTTGATGAACAATTAGTTAATTTACAAGTTTATAATAGAACTATTGGATTGGCTTACTTAATGACCGATCTGCTAGATCACTGCATTTTGTCTTCTGACCATGTAAGTGTCTTCGTGTGGCTATGTCGCGAGCTACGGTTTGTTTCCTTAGAGCAAAGTCGTTTCTATTGWGGTCACCATACGAAAGGACAAGGATTTGGATTTTGTAATACTCTTGACAATTTTCAATTTTTAGTACAAGTAGAAAAATGAAAAATTCAGTTTTTTGATACAGTATGATATGTAAGGTACGTACGTATGGTCAGGTAGAAATGACTGACGATGATCAAGGTGAGTCATGAGTGTGAGTCAGTTTTGAAACTTTTGTGGAAAAGCATTCCCATCGAGTGAAATGTACGAGTAGTGCAAACGAATCAGTAGAAGCGTCAAGCAATCGATAATGAGAGACACAAAAACATTCCACCGCGAACTCCGAAACAATGATGAGCCTCAATTTCCGACTGGCGACAATCCTCTTGGGTGCTTCCGCTGCGTCTGCCTTTGTGAACCCGGCAACGACTTCGTCGATTCCCGTGCCAACGACCACACGGATCGAATCGTCGTCGCCCGCCGCGGCCACGGAGCCCAGGGATGCTGCTACCATCGCCGAACTGAAATGCGAAGCCGGGGGTTCCATCCTGGACGAAGCGGCAATGCTGAAGGCACAGAATTTCCCCGTCTCCCCGGAGGACCTGGTATCCAAGGCAAAGCACGCCCTCGTCAAGGATTCGGGCGTCCTGGATCCCTCCCTGTGGGCCGAGGATTTCGAATTCTGCGCCCCCTACGTTGGGCCCCTTTCTAGGGAGAAATTTCTGGAGGCCGCCAACGGCTTCAAGATCTACGACGCCTTTCCGGACTTTGACAACCGGTACTTCAACATACATCCCGATCCGATCGAGCCCGGGCGGGTCTGGTTCATGACCCGGCTCACCGCCACCAACGACGGGGCCGGATTGTTTGGGAAAAAGGAGCCCTCGAACAAGAATGTCGTGCTGCCCCCACAGATGTACTCGTTTTTGTTCAACGAGGAGGGACTCATCCGGGAGTTGACCGTGGGTTATCCCGTCGATCGGCGGCAGGGGAACACCGGCGGACTCGGGGGCATGTTCGGAGTTTTTTACGGCATCGGGCAGGCCCTGCCTTTTCCGGAGGGCAAGCCCTACCAGCTCTCACGTCGGTTCCGATTTTTCAACATGATTGGGGACTTGGCGGGCCGGCTAACGAAAAAGAAGGACTAAACGAAGAATCAGTGCATCGAATGATAGCGACTAGAACTTGTAAACTTTGAAAAAAAAAATGATTTTGTATTTTTGGGGCAATCACAAGTTTGATGGTCCTCTGCAATCGTTCCAAGCTTTCGAAGCCGCATTTTATCTAGTCCTAGTACTTGTCGGTGGTTTCTGAGTCCACGGCAGCTTCCTCCTCCCGGGCCTTGCTCCACTCGAATCCCTTGAGGGCCTTGACCCTCGTTCGGTCAAACCGCAGCGGCTCTGTTGTTTCCCCCGACACGGTCCTGCCGTTGTCCAAAGGGTGGCCGAGGCTCACCTTCCTACAGTACAGAAACAGCCCCTGCCGTCTCCGCACGCTGCCCTCCTGTTCCCCCCAGTACAGATCGTCGCCGAGGATGGGCGTCCCGAGGACCTTCGCGCAGTGGATCCGGAGCTGGTGCTTGCGGCCCGTTTTGGGAAAGAGCTTGAGGTCGGTCAGGACCCCGTTCACGTTGCAGGGGGTCGAGCCCAGCACTAGCACGTCCGTTTCCGATGGCTTGCCGTCCACGTCGGAGCGGATCGTGAACGAAAAGGGCGAGGATGCTGGATTGCCTTCGCCCGAGAAGATGATTTGTTGTTTCGGATCCTCGTTTCTTTCCGCCAGGGTCCCGATATCGACGGTTCCCACGACAATCGCCCGGTATTCCTTGGTGACCGTCTTTTCCTCGAAGGACCGACCGATCTCAACACAAGCCCTGCGGGTCTTGGCCACCACCACGGGTCCGGCCACTCGCTGGTCCAGCCGGTGCCGGGGCAGGGGTGCGGGGAGGGGCTCGTCGTCGTCCAAGCCGTTCCCGCCCGTTGACGGCGGAGTGAGCACCAGGGGCAAAATCTCGTCCAAGCAGAGGGACTTGCCAAGGCTCCCGGACCACGACATGGTGTGGATCCCGGCCGGCTTGCAAACAATGGCCATTGCGTCGTCCTCGTAGAGCACGCGGAGCGGCGAGTGAGACATCCCGCCGTCCCCGAGGGTTTGCAGGAGCCTCAGCCGGGACGCACAGAAGCGTTCCGCCCGCTTGGGATCGCCCGGGACGGTAGTTCTGCGGTCCGACTTGTCGTTGAGGTACCCCACGACGTCCCCGGAAACGACGAGGCGGCCCCCGGACACCCTGGCCCCGTTGATCGTCAGCGTTCCGGAACGGCAGGCCAGGTTGGCGGCGTTGGAGGTCGGCAGGCTTTCCGGAAAGATCCCCGGCGCGAAGTGGCTGATGCGGGTGCCCCGGTCGTCTCTGCCCTCGAGGTCGCCCCGCGTCACAACGACTTCCCGGACCGTGTTGGTGTTGCGGTTGGCCGTCTTCCAGGCGTCGAACCTCTCGCGGGCCTCGGCTACGGAGAGGCCGTCGAATCCGCGGTGGGTTCTACCGGCGTCCGTGTTCGCATGCCCCGAAAGAGCGGCGACACCCACCGAAATCGCCAAAAGCGAGACGATTGACCACAAGAATGCGAGCGAAACTGCCGGCAGACCACAATGCGCTCGACACCTTCGGTGGACCGCCACTCCCGGGCTGCCGATTCGACAACTCGTGGGACGGGGTTTTTCGTCTGCGTCCATCGGATTGGCCCCTTTCCGAACGGATTCTGTTGCGGTTTTCATGTCCGGACGGGGGTCGATTTTTGTATAAGGAATTGTGGTTTTCCTCACCGTGCGGCATTACAGAGTTGTGATTCTCAGGAGAGTAGGAAAAAATAGAAAAATCAAATTCCTCGTGATGTTTTCGAGAATCAGCAAGGAGTGATGGTTGTGTGGTACAACGGGGATGAAAAGACGACGATTTTTTATCATGGATGGAGAGGTATATTATGATATTATGATATGATAAGTAGGTAAGAAGGTACCATTCATAGTACATAGGCGGATGTAATTGTTATGTACCGATACTTCGTACTTCTACCGTATTGTGCATTCTGCCTTGGTTACGTTATGAACTACTACTATGAACCTAGGGATCAAGGTACCAGGTTAATAGCATACGTACGCATGCAGAAACGCATGTATTGTATGTACGTAAACCGTAAATATTGTATTTTGAGTTTTCAGTTTTCACCATCTGTTTCATTCCACCGTACCGTACCGTAGGATAAGATTACGTAGGTTTACGCACCGGTGCGATTCATTACTGCACGTTTCAGTTTTGGTAATCCTACTGGGACTGCTGACAGACGAGTTCCTAGGCGTAGAACTATGTACACGTGTACGAGAGGAAGTTCAATACAGTAGGCACATTACGATGGGGTCCCGCATCAAAGGACTGGTTACAAGTACCAAGTACTCGTACGAACGTAGTACCGTACGGAATATGAAAGTAATCCTCCGTCCAGTTTTCAAACTAATTTTTCATTCTTCGCACAAGAAACATTCGTCGAGCGATACTGGCGATTGGAGTGAACATCGACAGCGCCACAACGTCGCGGAGAGGGGAACACAGTAACACAGGATCTACAACAATCTCCGTAGCCCCGATTCAATGGCGTGCGAAACGGGAAGGAAGCCGTCGTCCCCGGGGGTTGTGATTCCGAGATCCCGGGCGACGAGGAGCACCGTTGTCTTGGTTTGTTCGCTGGCGTTCGTCGTGCAGCGCTGCGGAGCATGGTTGGTCCCCGGTGCTCCGCAAAACCATTCTCGTCCGTCTTGGAAAGAGGACAGTTTGGTTTTCCGTGGAACTCATCGGTTCGAGAGAGGGAGAAGAACCAGCAGCAGGATAAGAAATTCTCTGGTCGACGAATCCGGTACCGTCGGTGAAACCCCACCGCCGCCACCGGAGACGGTCGATGCGCTTTCTTCGCTGGCGCAAACGATTCTTGCCCTGCTCTCGGGCGACGAAGACTCGGCCAAGGCTCTTACGGGGACGGCAGCGGAGAAACGAGAGCTTATCGAGCAGATATTCGAGTCCTATGATGCCTGCGGAAGCGGCACGTTGTCCGTAGAGGAAGCCCATTCTTTGTTCATTGATCTCTCTCGGAGTATTGTGGAAGAAATCGCCGATTCCCCATCAAACGACACAGCAGCCGCACATTCTACCGGCAATGGCAGCGATGATAGCAATGAAGGCAGCGATGATAGCAACGAGGACCAACACCGTGGCAGGATTCAACAGGGCGAAGTGGCAAGATCCCACGCCAGGCGGGTTTTGGATGCCGACGAAAACGGGACGCACACCATCGAGCGAGTCGCCACCAAGCTGTTGCTCCTGGCCGACGAGGACCACGACGGGAAAATCAGCCTGACGGAACTGGCCAGCATCTTCGACACCGTCCAAAAAGCCCAGAGCGGTGACATCGACACCTTCCCCCAGCCGCTCCGCGCTCTGGCGGGGAGCCTGCAGCTCCTCCCGCCCACGGAGGGAACGGAGGTGGCGGAAGCGGCCGGAAAGGCCCTCAGCTGGCACATTGGGGTTCCCGGAGACGACCACACGCTCCGAAGGGTGGAACTCGAGCGGGGTCTCAGCATCGTCGGTCTCGGTCGAAGCGCTGACGCATCGACCTACTTCGTTCCCGAGCTGGGGATCGTCTTCGACGCCGGCTTTCACGTCAAATCGCTCCGGCCAAAAACGGTCCTGCTGAGCCACGGGCACCGCGACCACATCGCGGCGCTCCCGGTCCACGCGGCGGACAAGGCCAAGATCTTTGCTCCGGGGAAACTCTGCTCGCTGATCGAGAGGTTTCTGCTGGCCGAGGCGCAGCTCAACTACGGCGACGAGACCCAGACCGACGAGGAAACCATCGCCGCCCTCGGCGGGTTCGACGTCAATCCCGTCTCGGACGGCGATGAGGTGCTCCTGCCCCGCGGATCGTACACTGGTTCGCCCAAGCCGCTCGGGGTGCAGGTCTTTTCGGCCCCCCACAAGAACGGCGTGCCCGCCGTCGCCTACGGATTGTACAAGGCCAAGGCACGGCTGAAGGAGGAGTACGCGTCGCTGCCGAAGAGCGAGCTCGGCGAGCTGATCCGGAGGGACGTCCAGATCACCGAGTCCTACAACCAGGGCCTGCTCTTCTACACCGGGGACACCACCATCGATCTGCTCCGCGAGCGCTACCAAGAGATCCTGCCCAAGTACAAGCACATCATCCACGAGGTGACCTTTCTGGGGCAGCCCTCCTCCGAACTGGACGAATCCACCCGGAGGAAGGGCCACACGCACTACTCCCAGCTCCATCCCTGGATTTGTGCCTTTCCGGAAACCACCTTTGTGTGCGTTCACTGGTCGCTGCGCTACTCGAGAGAGGACGTCCTGGACTTTTTCGACCATCAGTACGGGGGAGTCCCGAAGAACGTGGTGCTGTGGGTCTGACCGGAATGACATTTTTCACTTCAATTTGGAAAGCATTGCCCGCATGCCTGTTTCGCCCTGGAAGGTGCTCCATACACGGCGTCCCGGGAACGCCGGCGGGGATTGCAGATCGGAGGGTTCTCGGGAGCGGTTTTGTTCGCCAAGGTTCGGGCCTTGCCACAATAGACCAACGAACGATTCTTTCGTACCAAAAACGGCAGGAGGGTTGGATCTCCGGCTCGCGAATGTAGGAATCGATGCCTTTCGATCGACGCATGGGGGACGCAATAGATCTCGAAAGCCGATCCATCCACATCCGAAGGGGCAACTCGAAGCCGCTGCTGCTTGCCCATTGCAACGTGCGAGTTTGACGAGAAAGGATCTTCTATGGCGAGGTTCGTTCTCTCCTTCTCTGGACCTATAGAGAGGGGTGGAACTTGTAGCTCGAGCGAAAATCATTAGTAGAAGCTCGATGATCGCCAAGAAATAGATGCTTTGGTCCTAGCTATTCGGAGCCACAGACTTTTGTACCTAGAACATGATCATCCGTGTTCGAGGATTGTCTAGACAGGGACGAAGATTTAGGGACGCCTGGTGACTCTCTGAAACCATATTTCTCTCTATTTAATCTATTTTCAAATTTGCACAGTTTCTTGGTAGTCTGCGGTTTGTATTTCAATAAGTGTATCTTATTATCCCTCCAGCAAAATCGGCTCGTTAAAGTTTGATGAAAATAATGTCGCAACGAATCTCTCTCTCGTGAACAGCGTTTGCCATTGTTGGAAACGCTCTTCTAACGACGCAGGGTACGTGGTCACAAAGTTTCAAAAACGAATCCGAGCAGTGTTTTCATGTGACCGAGACTTTGGATGCCAGGCCATTTGTCATCCATAGTCACTGGCTCGATCGCCCTAATCGATTTCGATCGCTGTTCCACTGCTTTCCGCCCCTCGGAGTAGGTGAGGAGATGGTTCTCCCGCGTTTTTCTTCCTGCCTTTCGGAGGATCGCAGCACTTGGGTGTCGTGGGTGGAGGGGGCGGGCCGTTCTTGTAGCCGACCGCTTCCAGCCACCAGGCGGGGTAGCCCACTCGCTTGGTGATTTCTCCTCCCTGGTCCACCTCGGACTCGTTGGAGTTCACAAATCCATCGGCGTACCGAAACATCAGCTCGTCGGACAGAGACCAGAGCGACGCAACGATCGCCTCTGCGTTCTTTGCAAAGGCGTCTTCTACCAATCCCATGTTGTTGTGCCGCCTGTATTCCTCCTGGATGGAAGCGACCAAGTCCAGGGAAGCTCCTTCGAGCTCGTCCTGCCGCTTGGTAATGTCCTGGATCATGTAGGACCATTTTAGGTTCGCAATGTTGTGTGCGTAGCACGCAGCCCAAAAAGCGCTCTCTCGAGAAAAGACAGACTGGTGGCCCGACCGAAACGACTTTGGAATATCCGACATGCCTACCACAAAGGGGGTGAAGATGGTCGCTAGAGGAGAAGACGGACCAAACCACAAGATGGCACCAGGACCACCACTACCCATGCCCCCAGATCCATCTGGTTGTTGTCTTTCCTCCTTCTTGCTCTGAACGACGTAGGTATCACTGGTTCGGTACAGTCCGATCGCGCGCTCCCAGTTCCCCTGAACCTTTGTCTCTTCGTTGGGCCCGGCCTTCCACCGATCCGGCGTTCCAAAGGGTCCCCCCGCAAGGTTTCCTTCTGCGCCAAGATCGAATTTCGTCCCCTGCAGAGTGTCCCGGTGGAATCGAAAGAGGTCGCGTTCGGATACGGGCCGGTCGGGTGTCACCGCGAGGGGATAAACGGGATCGGATTGCAGATCGGTGTAATCGGTCGGGAACGGCTGGGAGGGAGCTGCCAATCGGTAGGATGCCCACACCCGGCGCCCGCTGTAGAATTTGTGGGAATATTCTCCATCGGAATAGATTTTTGTAAAATCGAGCAGTCCGTCCGCTTCGACGGAGGTCCACCATCMGTAGTCTATGGCTACATCGTGGACGCTTTTGCTCATCAGGAACCGCTCGGTATCGGTCGGATCGACCTCGCGAATGACAAACATATTGGCAATGACCGCAAACTTGTCGTCGTCGAGTTTTTCCGCGGCCCAGATTGCGGACTTCCCCGTGGGATCCGGTAGGATGTGAAAAATCCATGCCTCTTCCGGATCGGTCACGGCGAGGGACTCGGCTGTGGTGTTATGAACCAAGAAGACTCGGTGAGAATGACAACTTCGGGTGGTCACAAATCAAATCGACAACCACAACTTCGTGGAATCCAGGAACCAAACTGCTACTCACACGTTCCCTCGAATTCTCCCGCTCCATAGAATCCATGGGCTACCGCAAGATCCCCCATCATCTGAACGGCTTCTTTGGCCGTAGAAGCCCGTTCCATAGCGATCCGCGACAATTCGTCGATGCTGAACAAGGCCGTTCCGTTCGGGTGCTGATGGATCGGCCTTGCACCGAAGACCCCCGAGCAGGTCGATTCCCCGATGCCTACCTGCATTTCGTTCACGGCGCCATAGGTTTCTTCGAGGTAGGCATAGGTGTGGGGGACCTGGGGGATGAATCCGATCGGCTGGAAGGGTTCGTGGGGTTCGCCCTCTCTTGGATAATACTCGGGGATCCCGCGGTCGTATCCGACGTACCGGGGGTAGTTTTCGGGAGAAAAATAGACGGGCCGGAGGCTGTCCGGTGGATAATCCGCGGCCGGAACCTTGACCAGCCTCGGGTCCGTGTCGAATTCGCCGTCGTTGCTGTGCGAGCACATGACCGATCCGTCGGCCGACGCATTTTTTCCGACCAGGAATACGGTACAACCGAATACCTGGTGGGCGTTCGAGTCGAGAAGGAGGAGGGTGGTTCCGGCCGAGAGAAAGAGGAAGGCAAGGCTGCAAAACGACTGGGTTTTGTGGATCATTTTCACTTCGATGATTGCTTTGCTAGGTTCCACTGGTAGGAGTATTGCTCGTATTTAAGTTCGTGAGGATGTGCCAATTCTGATTTGTGACGGAATAGAAAAAATAACAAAATCATGTCGTCGTGATTCGTTACGTAGTACCAGGTACCAGTTCGTAGGAAAACTGTAGCACGATAGCACGATTCGATTGGCGGTTGAACGAAGAAAATCCCGATCAGAATTCAACGCCCATGATTTTGAAAACGAACAAGGAGGAATTTTGATTTCCCCTGACGTCTGTGAACCCGTAGTAAAAGTGTTTCATTCCAAAATAAGTGTCTAATGTTGATATCTTGGAGACCAACTCCTCAAAAGATTGAGTTTTGGGCGCTTACTAGCCTGTTCCTTTTTCATGATGCAAACAAAATCTGGAAGGAGTGTGTTACAGTAATCTAGTATTATTATTTCTACTTTCAGAGTTGAAAACCCCTTCAAACATACTAGTACTAGTACTACTAGTACTTTTTAATTTTTAAACTAGTAGGGTGTAGAACAAAAGCAAGAACAAGAAGAGCAACTACTGATTTTCTCTGTTGCTGTGACGTAGTGGTAGTAGTAGCAGTAACTCCTAATAGTGGGGAAAGCACTAATTGTTGAGTTTGGTTTAGAGGAGGAAGGAAGTGGTGCAAGAACGATTCCCCGTAAGAGCTGAGGGTCGTTTCAGGAAGCCAGAACGTCTTCGGCGGCCCTCTCGATGGCCTCCAGCTTTTCCAACAGATCCATTGCGGCGGCGAGATCGCGCAGCAAAAGGGCATAGTGCTCGGCGAATCGTTCGTTCGAGGTCCGCAGGTCCGCGTCGATCAGGTTCTGGATGTCCTCGGTCTCGCGGATGTCGGCAAGGAACCCGGCCTGCCGGCATTCGAAACCGTCCGCGTCCTCGGTCTCCGTCCGCTGTCCGCCGCAATCCGTTCCACCTTGACCGATTCCGGCCCTCTCGGTTCCGGAATCACTGCCCGCGGCGCTCACCTTCCCGGTAGCCTGTGCGGGACAAGGAGGATCCAGCGACGACTTCTCTTCTTCCGCATGCTTGTCAATAGTTCTGTTCGCCTGTGCTGGTGGGACTAGATTGGAACCATTCGTTCTTGGCAGAATACCGGGAGGCACTTTCTGGTTTGCATTGTCGCCGTTGTGAGAGTCTCTTGGATTTTCTAGACCTAAACCTGCATTCGCACCGTAAGCAGCCCGCTCCTTTCGAAAGCGGCGGTTGTCGGTAACGTTAGGATGAGGATTGGTTCTTCTCTGCTGCTGCTGGTTTTGTTGTTGCTGACCAGTAGATACTATGCTAGGGGAGTTGCTATTGCCATTATTCGACGACGATCGATCCATGCGAGATATCAGTCCCGAGCCCCCGGTATCGCATGTATTATCCATAGAAACCCTACCAGGGACCTTGATTGGGGGATCTAGAACAGGAGAAGGGTGGCTTCTTTTTGCAGTTGTGTTCTTTGTCTGCAACGAGTCGTGCATCCGATGAGTCACCCTCGACGATGCAAGCGTTGGATTCTGCCCTTCCTCCTGCTGATGCATGTTCGTGTCCTGGTTTCCTCCATCGTGTCGAGCCCCGGAGGGCGACAAAGAAGCATGTTTCTCGTTGTTGTCGTTGTCTAACGAAACACGCCTTGATTTTTCGCTTGGAGCCGTGACGGTAGCGTCAAGATGCAACAGTTGCTTATTAGGTACGGACTTTTCTGCAGTTCTGTCGTCGTTAGGGTGCTCCCTGGTAGGGTCTCCTCTGCCTTCACCGTTCCCAATGCTGATCGACGCCGGTTGAGCATTCGCACCGACCTTTTTGCTGTCGTTGTCATTTTCGTTGCTGCTGCTTCCCTTTCGTGCGAAGCGAGAAAACCCAAACACGATCTTCGGCTTGTCGATGGCGGTCTTGGATTCGGTCACGGATGCGCCAGAAGTGTTGCGGTACCCGGATCCAAACGAGGCCTCGTCGTCGAATCCGTGGCCGTCCCCGAGCAAGAAATCCTGGTCCTCGCTTCCGCCCGCGAAGAGGCCGTCGCTCTCCCCGAACAGGAATCCACCGCCCTCGTCGTTCCCGTAGCCGAACCCGGAGAAGGAAGAGCCCCCCTTCGAGTCCGCGTCCCACTCGTCGTTCGTCTGGTTGGATGACTGTGGGTTGGCGCCGTCTTTGGCGGCGGTGGCACGGGCAGGCGTTGCGGCCGGTGGGAGGATTCGTCGAAAGGGCCCTTCGTCCTCGGGGGCCTTTGGCGTGGCCTTCTCGGCCGTCTCCTTTCTTCGGGCAAAGCGCCCGATGCCGATTCCCGACATGGCTGGTTCGGTGTATGGAGGGCTTTGCGATTCCTTTGGTTGCGGGAGAAGCGAACAACCACCGAGTTGAGTGTGGTTTCAGCAGTCAGATCAAGTCGACCATCCAAAGCCCGATGCCGACCAAACAATATCAAAAGTCTACGTACCGTGTGTGGGAGATGCCCTCGTCGTTTTTGTCTCGGTGTGGATACTCCTGATAGTAGTCCTGCTAGACGATGTCCTCAGATTTGCAGATTAGGTTGATACATCAAGAATACAAGCAGTAATCAAACGAAAGCTGGAGTTGTAAGCAATGCTTTACTGCTTCTTCGAGTGCTATGCTCAGATCTGCTCGCTACCAGGAGTAAGCAAAGGCAAGAAAATGACGAGAAGCGACGAAAGAAAAAAAAAACTTTTCTTGAACTGATTTTTTTTGAAAATGTTGATGCCGACATGTATTGTAAAACTCAATCCCTAATCGTAAATCGTAAAATTCCTTCATCATTGGTTCTTCCGTTGCAATCAAAGACTGGATTAGCTTTGATTTTGTCTTCGTTTTCTGTAGAATCGTACCGTACCTGGTACTGTACTGTAATACATAACGACGCATTTTTATTACTGCTTGATTTGTTGAGCTTACCGTACGGGCATCGTGAAACAAACAAAAAGGCAGATCGATTGAAAGCACACAAAACGTATCGTTCCAATATTCTTCGTCGAACTACTTTGTTGCGTTGGCGTCGGGCCTGGACGAGATAGCGACTCAGCCAGCCGAAAGGAAGAAGGGGGGAAACCAATCTACCGCATCGCTTCGCGCCACATACATTTGCAGTACAGAAGCCAACTGAAACGATACCGAGCCAAGCCGAACCGGTCATCGCTGCCTATTCTGTTTCCGTGCATCATTGGCGCCGCATCCCAGGATGGAATCGTACCCGGGCGAGCTCCTGGTGGGGGTCTTCCCGCTCGTCTTTTGCGTCGATGCCACTCTCCCGAGCAAGGACGACGGTGTGTCCAGCGGCCGCAGCCAGTTCGACAAGTTCCTGGACACCATCGCCGCCTCCTCGTCTATGGTCGACGACGACGACGAAACCATCCACGACGGTGGTCCCATGATGCAGCGCGTCGCGCAGGAGCAGTCCGACAACGAGGACGAGTTTTTGCTGAAAAGCAACGGAAGCGGCGGCGTGGACGAATTCCGCCTCGCTCGGCGCCGCAGCACGGGAACGGAGGCCTCTCTTCCCGGTGGCCAGCAGCCGCCCACCACCCCGCCGAAAAGCCCCCGGCCGGACCGCAACGGCCGGCAGTCCCCGCTGCTAAAGACCCTGAACCGGATGGGGAGCAAGCGGAACATGAGGAGGAACAACCGGAACAGCGGGGACTTTGCCAGGGGCGGAGATCCCGCTTCGCCCCACCAAGTCGAGATTGATTTTCCTCCCTCCTTCTGCGAAGCTCTACAGCAGGGACAATCGTTTTTTCAGCGGGCCCGGATCGTTTCGACGTCGCCACGGCACGGCTTTCCTCCCTCGAAGGACCCCAGCGGGCAGTCGAATCGGGTCGTTGCCCTGACTGGATTGATGCCCGGGCAGCTACCACCCCACCAGCGACAGTCGCAATCCCAGCTGCAGCAGAAGCGGCAAGAGACGCTGTCCCGGTTCAAATCCGCGGCGGAGAAACGACCCATAGATGGAATATTGCCCAGTGGGTGGCTCGAGAAACACGCCGCGGCCCTGCCGAGTGTTATTGTTGTCGTTGCGCAAATCCATCCCCCCCACCAAGAAACGCAACAACGCCAGGACGACTTATTGGTGGAAGCTCTGGAAAACCTCCAGCACTCCCTGGCCCCAAAACGCAAGGTCGACGTGAAGGTGGTGGCCCTGGTCCGGGAAGGAGTATCTCCAATTCTTGCCGAGCAATGGTCGCAGGGCATCCTCGGTAGGTTGCCCTCCTTCCTCCGCGGGGACAACGCGGACAATGCCGAACACGAAAGCCTCGTCACCCTCGTTGAAGAGAAAGAGCTTAGATCCGACGACCAAGGCGACAATACAAATCCCGTTGACGTGCCAGAGGATAGTTCTTCCTCCGCCCTACCGCTGCTGCACTACAGCATCCGTAAATCGAGTATTCGGTACTACAAGGACCGTTCGCGGGAGGTCAAGGGGAAGCTCCTCCGGTTAGGTGGGCCCCAAGCGGCAATGACCCTTTCCCCCGCATTGTTCCCGTTGGTGATTCGCTATTGTTTCAAGGCGGCGGTATTTTACGAATTCCAGTGGAAGCAGGAAAAATCACTCAAATACATGCTCGAGGCCTACCGGTTGGTCGAAACGTATTATCGCTATCTATTGACGGTTCAGCACGACAAAGAAATCGATGCACACAATGGCAACGACGACGACCAAGACACCGACGCCGGAAACAAACACCCAGATGCCAATCCTGGGCCCCCTCCCTTGCCAGACATATCCACAACATTAAGTTCTGCCTCGAGCGAGCAAGTCTTTGATTGCGGAGAGGGAGTCGAGATGTCGCTGCCGAGCACACCACCCGCCGTTGCGTCCGCGCCGTCCTTCAGCGAAGAATATTACGCACTGGCACGCACGACCGTCGTTGCAGAAGACATGGTCCACCAATGCCGGGCCCTGGCCGATTGGCTCAACTTCAAAATATTGCAGCTGTGCCTCGTGTCCCACGAACGAACCGGGATGCTTGCGGCGTCGGTCCAGTGGCAGCGCCACTCCCGCGCGTTTTGCTGCCCCCGCCGGTCCTTTCTCCACACCGAGGGTGCCCCGTGGCTGGACTGGTCGTACGCGTCGCAGCAGCTGCTGGTGGTGAGCCAGCTGCTGGAGCGACACCCGCCCCGGGCGCTGGGGCGCCTGGGAGCTCCGGGATCCGAAGAGTTTGACGAAGACCTGTTGCGGTGTTGTTCCTGGCGGACCTACGAGGGAGCTGCGGAGGCCCTGCTCAAGACCGGGCACCGAATCAAGAATTCGGGGGAAATGGGCGAACCGCCAAGCAAGGAAAGCCCAGAAACGACCTCCCGCATTCGATATGTTGGCGGTCTCGACCACGAAGGGTTTCGTCCCTTGTTTCAGGAAGAATCCAAGAAGAATCACATGGAACTAGCCTTGAATTGCGCATTGCGAGGAATTGCGTTGTTCGAAAACGAAGTGAACCAATTGAAACGGGACAAAACCCTGATCCCCTGGACCCGATCCGGGGCGCGCCTTCGTTATCTTGCCGGAGGGGCCCTGTTGGCCCTTGGCCGGCACTCCGAGGCCATTCCCCACCTCGAAAAGGCAATCGGTCTGTGCAAGGGATGGGACTACCTCGAATCGCTCGTTCGACGGCTGCTCATCGAGTGCTTCCAGAACCTAGGCGATTTACATACGCTATCCGCAGGCGGTGACGCCTCCAGCCGCCAGGCAAGGACCTCTTTCCTATTGGATTGCTACTTTCGAGCACACTTGCCAGCCGATGAGCTAAGCAGTGCCCTGGAGAGGCTCGCGGAAACGAATGTCTTGGATACTGTTGAATCCGGGGTGAAAAAGTGCATCCGTTGGAACCTCGGCACCGGAAATGATGAAATGGGCAGCAGTTCAGGTCTTCCGTTTTTCTTTGACCTTTCATTTCCCGCTTGCACACACGCAACCGCTGGACAGAAAGTAAAGGCACACGTCTGGATCAAATCCAACCTGAACTATGCACTATGCATAAATAGCTTATCGATGCTAACTCTTCTGGGTCCGCTATCCATTCCTTCCAAGGATATTCCTGTCGGGGAAACGGGAATGGTAGTTGTCCAACCCTACGAAGCGATCGAGTTTGGTACAGAAGTCACCCTTCCGGGGGATCTGGATCCAACGGCCACCGACGGAACCAGTACTGTCGCCGGAGATACCAATGCCGCGGTTCCCAACTCCTCTCCTGTGAAAGCCGTTACGAAACCCAGACTCAAGACAAGCGGTTTCAGCGCGGGAGGCGGTACCAGGTTTGTTACCGAGAACGATGTCGCCTCCGAAGCGTGCCTCGGAGGAAAAACCCTGCGTTGCGATGGGATTTCAATGTTGCTCGCTCCCCTTGTACCAGCCACTGGTAGTAGTAACAGCAGCACAACCAACATTGAGTTGACAATAAAGTTGGAGGAGCCCGAACCCCCACCGAATGTAAGACGGAGCACATTTGACCACAACAACTACCTATCTTCGGCTTGGAAGCGGCCTGCTTGCTTGAGCATGAATGAAGGACCAACGTGTTTGCGCGTATTACCACCGTCTGCCAACATGATTGTCACGAATGTGACGGACGAATTAACGAAAGGAACGGCGTTGGAAGGCACTGTCAATCGCATCGTACTCAAATTACAGGCTCCCGACGATGAGGTTTGTACCAACATCTTGGTTTCGTTGAACTGCTCAAGCGTTCTGAAGACGTCAGAGGGTGCGACGAAGCTGATTGTGTTGAACGAAAGTGATGTCGACAATGATGATCAGAAGGATCTAGAGGACATGATGAATCCCAGGGTTCGCAATCCGGTTCTGGTGAAAAAGAACAATGCGTCGAAGACTTTTATGACCGACTTTGGCTACATTCTGCCAGATGGATGGTCTGCTATCGGCGCTGGTGATGGTCATGGGAATACTAGTGACTACAAGATCGAGGTCTCTCCTCTGAACGCTGGAGAGATAGGTTATGCTTACTTCGATATATATAGACCAACACCCGATCCCACCACGGTCTATGGCGGAGTACCACGGGATATGAACCTTTACGATGATTACAAATGCAAAACAAACATTGATGTATCGATCCGTTATTCTCAGGAAGGAAAAGGTGTTATCAAGGAGGCATCGCGCGACCGCGTCGGAAAGGACTATGTATCCCTTGATCACACTGTCAGCCTCGAGTGGAGTTCACCTCTGTCGGTTGAATTTTCAACCACTGCACAAGATGCGTATCCCTCTGGAAACCGGCACAATTCAAACATTCTGCCCGAGAATGGGTCGCCGAAGAAACAAGATCTTGGTCTGCCTGTGAAAGAAACGATCCTGATTGACAACAACCGCATTTTGACGAATGGCATCATGCACTCGCCTGCCTCTACCGCTGGACTTTTTGTTGAAGTCGAGAAGGTTCAATTCGTCGAGAACGATAGGGATAAAAACAATTGTTCCTTTAAATTGTTGAGCGACAATGATTCTAACGGAACGATATACAAAGGAGAAGCCGACCATCCAAGCATAAAGCAAGGTGTGGGTTCTAAGATATCTTTTGCATGGATAGCAGAAGCGTGCATGGAAAAGCAATACCGCGAGGAGAGCTTTACGCTTCCTCTTGGCACTATATTGGTGCAGTGGCAGCCATTGCCATTCGAACTTTCAAAAGAGGTCCAGTTTCTACAGAAGGATTCTTTCACTGGAAGCCATGGCCCTCTCAAGCTTCACCAACCTGGAACTTGCCGTTTCAATGGACCGCTTTGTTATATCGAGAGCGCACCGTTTGAGGCGAAACCGGAGAATTTACCAGACTCGATTCAAGTAGCAGTCCCATTCAAGGTGATGTACAGTATCAAAAACAACACGCCCCTTGACCAGGAGCTCGAGATCACGCTCCAGGACTCCTCTGCACCAGGTGACGATCAGAACGACGCATTTTTAATCAGTGGTCACGTAAACAAAAGATCTTCCATTGGTCCTTTTGAGTCCTTTTCGTTCTCATATACAGCCGTGCCAAGGAAGGTGGGAAAGGTGAACTTGCCGTCGATATCGATATCTAGCTTGCGCTACAGGTCTTGGGTAATTCGTGAATCGCTTCAGAGGCGGCTGATATATGTTGAACCTTGAAATAAGAATATTGATACTGAACTCCGTCATACTACGGTACAGTATCGTGCGGTACGAGTAACTCCAAAGGGAAACCAATATTAGCCTTTTTTCTTCTTGTTATGTACGAATCCCAACCAATGCAGAAATACTAGCCGTACCTACGAACCGATCGGATTCTTGTGAGTTTTTTATCGAGCATTTTTTATTCTAATGAGTCAAATTGGAACATTTCCCGTAGGCCATAAGTGTTGTTTTGAACTCTCGACTGATTAGTATTCGTGAACCCAGAGGATAGGCTTCAAAGTTAAAACAAACACAAAAACCAGTCCCGAGGGTTCTATTTGCAATAGGCCAAATAAAATCTAAATTCAGCCTCTACTCGAGGTACTGGTACCCAGTACGCACGAGTTCGAACGATCCATCAATTCAACGGAAGACCAAGACCAGCGAGAAAGGGGAGTATTCTTCAGTTTCACAGCAACTCCTCTGCTCAAAGCGTTGGAACTGCAGGTGAATTCACGACCGCATTGCCATTCATTTCATTCCGAAAACAAAGTACAGTTCTTCGTACAATCAGAACCACAATCAAACCGATCTACATCGGTATCATTCTTTCATCAGCCACATCGTCAACGATTCATCTACGCAGCAAGAATCACAATCTTTTTAGCCTTTATTTGTTGCATGGGATATCTTCATTTGAAACTTTCATACATCGACTCAATTTGGATTGTATCTTTGCGACAATAGATATCATGTTAAGCCTACTAGGACTCAAACGCAAAGAAGACTCCACACAACCCGGAGATCTAGCAACAGCAAGCCCCGAACGAAAGGAAGAACCATCTGTGGTCGAAGTTGAAGTAGCCCCCGAAGATGTAATCCCCGACGAACCAACGAAGAGAAGAAGAGCATCATGTTGTGCGGATAGCTCATGTTGTGCAAAGGCGAATGCGAAAAAAAAATCGAGCGGAAATGAAAGTCCCTAAATCTTTATTTTCTGATGGTCTCGCAAGTATTGTCACGCCAAACCACTTTTGATTGCAGCTGGTATACGATTGCCCGGGGCAACGCTCATATTCTTGAAAAGCTCTACCAAAAACTGTAATTCGGTGCCACCATTACCTACTGTTCAAAATCAATCTATCCATGCTTAATACTAGTACCACTACCGTGACCACGTCCAGGTTCACTATCATGTAATGGAGAGTCAGACATTACTCCTAAAGCTATCTGTGAAAGAATCTTCAATCAGGTCTAAAAACGTGCAAAATTGCCAACTTACAGTACTAGATGACAATATTGTGATTCCCATTTCCGGTAGCTTCTGCTCTACCGTATCGTAACGTATCATGAACGATAATAACCTCTGATGCCATCGATAATTGATACATACTACGTACATACATAGCTTACCTATACCTCGTAGATGAAAAATTACAACACAAAACAACGAGGGTTTTCGGTTTTCATTTTTTCTAGAAGTACGGTAGGAAAGTTCTCAGACGTGGAAGAAAGTCCTTTCGTCATCCGTTAGCCGATGCTGTGAGATCTTCATAGCCATCAAATGAAGGTAAAGATTGTGATTGAGCTATTCACAATCAACGATCAAAATAGCATCATTTTCACGAATACATGTTACTCGTACTCATCTTCTCGATCAGTGATAGCGCTTCATTCTGCCATAGTATTTCGTTGCCTTTTCAAAGCCAACACAAACATCACAGAAGATAACGCCACTTAGTCAGAATACATACTTCACAATGTGTTGAATAATTCTATGGCAACGCGCTAGTCGACATTGTCGAGACTTTTCCTCTCTTCCGAGACGGAATAAATGCATGGCATGCATTCGATGGTAAGTTCTCCTTTTCGATGATTTTCTGAAAAATGCAATCCATGCTTCTTGAAGAGATGAAACAAAGAGATTATCGGATTCCCCTTCTTGATGCGGATTTGTCTCCGTAATTGATGATCCAATCCTAAAACAAATTCTGATCAAGAAAGAACGAACGAATCATACCCAATCACCGACGACTCCTTCCCAGCTTGCTCTGCTTGATGATTCTGAGCCAGTTCTTGCGTAAGACGTGGTTCGGATAAAATCTTGATGAGAATGAAGACGCTAATTAACGACAGAGCGATTCGCAATGAAACTGTCTTTTTTGTCATAGTTACTCTGACTTGTCTTGCGTTATACGGTGTAAGAGGAAAGGAAAACGTCATTGTGACATATGGTTCTGTTGTTGTTGTGGGTGGAGAGTAAAAATGATGTTTTTTTTTTCCTTGCATAAGTCTCACTTTCTTCGCTGTTTTGCTGCACTCTTTAGTCTTGGGATGTTTGGGTGATCCATCACGACATTTACGAACCCGTCGACGACATGAACATTATTCCGATGAGTACACGCCGATCCGATTTGAAGCTTTGTACCAAGAGGAAATAGCTCAGACGTTTTCTCGCTCATTCATCCATGTCATTCGAGTCTAGGGGATGGATTGTTTGACTTTCGAGCGACTCGCGGATGAGTTCACCGAAGAGTACGTTTCATGTTTGCGATTTTGATTGTTGTCCAACTACCATTGTGGGTACTGTCCGAAATGATGTCCAACCTTGTTTGGATGCCGCCCCAGACTGACTTTTGGTGACCAGAGAAACATTCAAGTAAATTATTCAACCTGATCGTCCAGTATTCCATGCTATGCAACAAAGTTGTTGTCGCTAATTGATCCGTTGACTATTCCTCACCGAATCGCTTGTTCTTTCTTTCCATTTTTGTAGTCCCTTCGGACGACAAGATTTCATACCTTTAAAACTATTGGGGAACACCTGCAACGGGTAAGTTGCAATTCGCCATTGCTTCGTTTGAAAGATAATTGGGCATCCTTTCCTACCGAAGATTCCGTTGTCGCTTCTATTGTTCGTAAGGAGGAAAAACTACCCAGCTCACTACGAGTTATAGGTTGCAAAATGCAGCCATCAATGTAGCGATGTAGAAAATTTTGTTTTCCTGTTATGTATTTCTGAATGAACAAGAGAAATCGATTGTGAATGGTTTGTAACGAACGATACTATTGATCGAAAGCGATCACAGCATGTCAGCTACTAACATATCGTGTGCTCTTCAATTACTTTCTTCCAGGATACAGTGGGAACATAGTTTGATGAATGAATAAAGTATTATAATGAAAGCAATACCTTGAAGTCAAATCAAAATTTAGTCTTTACGGCCACGAACAGACTGCAAATATGTTCTGTAGTACTACGTATACCAGTCTTCATGCTTTTGTCACAAAAGCATGCCATGTAGGAATATCTCAATTGAGTGGAGCTCAAACACACCATGGATAACCCTACTATTTTACTATTTTTTGTGTGATCCACTCGTCCTGTTTTTCTAATACTATGAAGTACCAAAAGATGCGAATGAAAATGATGCAGTTGCTTTAAAGGAAGAATCACTCGCTCCTATTTAATCAGAGATAGATTTCTCGGTGTACATGAAGACAAAATATCCCCTGCATGGTTGAGAAGGACTGAAACGTGCCGAGCGGTAACTCCACATTCTATTGATCCTCGGTCAGAGACAACGCAGAATTTCTTCAATCACTGAATGGAATGCCAGCCGCTGCCAGCCGCTCTTCGTACGTCTTCTGCTTCTTTGGTTCTTCCCCAAAGGGAGCCTCACCCTCGTCTTCTTCCTCTTCCTGGGCCACCACGGCGGTCACCTCCGGGATGTAATGCATGAGCATGTTCTCGACACCCTGCTTCAGCGTGATGCTCGAGCTGGGGCAGCCAACGCACGACCCTGCCAGCTGGACAGTGACAATCCCGGTGTCTTCCTCAAAATTGCGGTAGTGGATATCCCCGCCGTCTTCCTGGACCGCCGGTCGGATTCGATCCTCGATGAGCTCCTTGATCATGGCCACGATCTCATCGTCGTCCTCCAGGATTGTCGTATCGGTGATCTGTGGCTTGTCCAACAACACCTTGTTGTTGGGGTTTTCAAAGAAATCCATCAGTGCGCTAAAGATTTCGGGTCTCATGAACTGCCACTTGGCCTCCGCTCGTTTCGTGACCGTGACGAAATCCCTACCAAAGTAGACAGCCTTGACGCCGTCGATCTTAAACAAATCCTTGGCCAGTGGAGACTTCAGAATTTCCTCGATGGGATCGGTTTTGTTCAAAAAATGCCCCGTTCCGTCTTCGTTATCCAGAACGACCTATGCGGTTAGGTAGGCAACACAATATTCCGCCCCCCAAAAAAATAGTGTTTGTTGCCAACGATTGAATTGAATCACGAAATATCCAAATTGTTGTTTTGTTATAATCCAATCGATATTCATCAAATAGCGTGTCGATGTTCGAAACGTAACACATTCCAGATCAAAGCAAAACACGGGGCCAAAGGAAACGAGGAATGACGTGAGAACGTTTGGCAGATTACTTGTATTGTGATGAAAACTTTGCGCTTATATTGTAAAATTCAGCATACACTCTCAAATACACTCTCATACGCACCGTGTTGGACGGCAGAAACTTGATCGATTCCGGATTGGGTGTGTTTTCGGTTTGAACAAACACGGTTCGTATCTGAACGCTGCTGTTGCCATTTCTGTTGTAGTTGAACAAGAGATTCGTGTGGTTCTGAAAATGCTGGGACGGCGTTTGCCCCGTTCGTGGTTGTGATCCGAAGGCATCTCCCATCGAGAGGTGGTGGAATCCACGGGTCGCAACTCCCAACGGAGCTGTTGTCGCTCGTTCCCCCTGCCCTTTGTTGGAAACTGCTGAGGCGGAAACGCGACGCCATCGGCGAGCGAGAAAACTGCGGCAACCACCTGGAGAACGCATTATATCCAATACTTCCTGGAGGAACCGGATTTTGTTGTGGGTGGTATGATGTATGGATGGAGCGGTCCTCAAACTGTCGTTGTGTGCACCAAGCGATTTGATGATATGATTTCTCTCCGTCGTGTGAAACAGTCAAGAGTCAATGGTTGATTCCCGTAGAAAAAAAAGAAATTACAAGCGATGCGGAAGTCGTAATTTTTGTACCGTATTTCAACAAGAAGTTTAGGGGAAGAATTCAAAAGGGGGGCGGGCCGTAGGTTCCAGAGGGCATAGCATGCAAAAAACCAAAAAAGTAAAATGTGTTCTTCAAACTTTAAATCCTTGCGATCACGCTTTTGAATTGGATCTTTCCATCGTCGATTGCTCCATTTCAAGCACCTGTATTCGCTCTTCGACGCTGATACTAGTCGTACGCCTACCATCATCCTCTCCCCGGTTGTGGTTTGTGGTTTGGATTGAGCGTATTGTTCTTCCCTGTGAATTAGAATACCTGCAATAGCAGAATACAACTTTATCTGATTTTCTGAGTTCTCGCTGTCCAAATGCGGTCCCCACTTGCTATCCTGACCGTGTCATTAACCCTGCTCTCGACGCAGCAACTGATTGTCCATGGCTTTGTTCCTACACAGGGACGGCTTGCAGCAAGCCACCCCGGACGCCCGGTCGTCGACATTACTACGAGTCAGCCACGCCACCAGCGAGAATCGGCAGGAACCTTTGGCAATGTTGTCCGCCGCGGAGGAAATCGAAACCGGGATCGACACGAGCTGGCGGCAGTTCCGGCGTCTCTCTGGTGGATACTCGGGCACACCACTCTTCCCTTTACCGGGGTGCCGTTTGTCATCAACGGAACCAAGGAGGGCGGCTGGTACCGCAAGATCGATCTCCCGTCGTGGACGCCCCCGGACAGGCTGTTTGGTCCGGTATGGACAACGCTGTACACGTGCATGGGGTTGGCGGTGTCGAGGATCTCCAAGGCATCGGCGTCGGCCTCTCCGTTCGGCAGCCCCTTGGTCCAGCTCTGGCTCGGCCACATGGCCGTGAACGTGGCGTGGGCCCCGGTCTTTTTTGGCCTCCAGCGGTTCCGGCTCGGGCTGGTCATCAGCTACCTGCTGGTGGGTTCCCTGGCCGCGATCATTCCACTCTTCCACGCGGTGGACCCCGTGGCGGCCTTTTTGCTGGTCCCCTACGGTCTGTGGCTTTCGTTTGCGACCTTTGGACTAAACACGTCTATTTGCCGACGAAACCCCACGAAGAACGGATACAACGAGGGGATGTTCCAGGCCCAGCTGCAAAAGCTTCAGGAGGATGCCGCAGCGTATGCCGGGGTGTAGTTGGCCTGGTGATTGAGACGTGTTCGGATGCTAGTTGCGAGTGGCACGATGTGGATGTGTTGAAGAATGATTCCTTGCTACGGGTAGGTCGGCAATTTTTCAATTCCTTCCTTTTTTCTCATGGGACCGAGCATGTTTCTCGTTCCTTTTCACTTTATACTTCTCGGCTAGGTTTACTAATAGTACTAGTAGTAGTATGTCCTTCTATGACTTTCATTAACCATAATTGCAATGTAGTAGTCTGATTTCAATAAAATTCATCTACTAACAGTCAGCCATTAGTACTATTACTAGCAAATGATTGGTTCTTTTTAGCGGAGTAGTAGACAACAACTACTACTAGCAGGCATTGCTGCACTAGTACACTTCTTGCACTTCTGCTGCCCTGGAATATATTGTTGTGTATGTAGCTGATTAGGAAAGAGAAGGGGGGGGCAATAGATGAAACACCATTTACTCCATTGGGTCAAGATTAACAATAAGAGGTACAGTTTGTTGAAACTAACAAGTAAGAATTCACCATTAATGGTACTACTGGTACTAGTACTAGTAGTGTAAGGAGAACATGTGGAGTCCAGAATATAACAATTGAACAAGATGTGGAATCTTCAATATTTATGGTGCAAAACTATCATAATAGATACCATGTGGAATCTTCAATATTTATGGTGCAAAACTATCATAATAGATACCAGTACTACTAAAGATGCTCAAGAGAACAGTACGTGTACTAGTGATGGTTTGGCCAGTCACACAAGAAGGAATAGAAAGCACAATATTGTTGCACAGAAAGGTGACAACAAGAGAGGAGCCCCAAAGCACCATTCAGAGCAATGGTCAATTAAAACATATCAGAGAAAAGCATCTCTGTCAATGATGAAAGCTAGCTAAGCATACGAAGGCAATGTTCAGAAGCAGTGTAATTGTGAAACATGACCTGCCATTTTTTTGGAAGAAAAGAGTGATGACATCCAGGCCCATCAAGGAGAATGGACAGGATTTTTCCATTATAGTAGTACTGGATTGCTGGACTTCAAAATCACTTGACACAAATTCTTGCGATGACATGACTGCTCATTGGATTGACCAAAATTGTGGCTTTCATGATGTTCCACTGGGTATATTAAGGTAATATAATAGTAGTAGGTAAGATGGTGATGGAGATGTTCAAAGCTGTCATCATGAAAAAATATGCTGCTGGAAGTGGTGCCACAATTTTTGAAGCTACTACTACTAGTAGTAGTACTACTAGTACTACAAGAACTCAATGTGAGCAAGGTACAATTTTTGGAAATGACTTGAAAACTCCACATGAGAATTGCATACATCATCTTTTGCATCTCAGCACTTGCAAGAATGATAGTGGTGTTAGTAGTAGTACTACCACTACTAGTACTAGTAGTACTAGTTGATAGATAAAACCGCTTAGTGCGACGCAAAAATCGATGTTTATCCCTGCCATCCACGCGAGACGATCGGGCAACTATCATGCAACAAAATACAGTATTAGAAGTACTTCGCAAGTACGATAGCATGCCATCAACCATTCACTGATTCTTTTGTTACCGCTGAACAATAAAAGCTGTAAGCAACAACCATCGCAATCCACCTGCACCTATTCCAGGTAGATCGGGAGGAAAGCAACGCAACAAGACCGGAAGAGCAGCCAACAACAGCAGCTAACAACACGATAGCATCATGGCGCGGCCGGCCGAGAAAGCCCGGGCGATGCTCAACAAGTGGGTCAAGATGCGGGAGGAAGGGAACGCCACGCCGAGCGTTCGCGGAGCCCGGCCGAAGCTGGCCTCGGAGTGCGAGCACCTGGGGGACGCCGAGTTCTACCGCACCCAGATCAACAAGGAGATCACGGGGATGATCGCCAAGATCCAGAACCCGGCCCTGGGCGAGCACACGATCCGGGACCTCAACGACGAGATCAACCGCAAGTTCCGCGAGAAGCACCACTGGAACAAGCGAATATTTCAGCTCAGCAACGGGACGATCGATTACAACAAGCGCGAGAGATCCGCCCGGATCGAGGAGGGAGACGTCCAGTTCCTGGCGGTGACGAACAACGGAAGAAAACACGGGCCGACGTACCGGTATTTTGGTGCCGCCAAGGACCTGCCGGGGGTCAAGGAGCTCCTCGAACAGCAGCAGGAGAAGATGCGAGCGATGAACCGCAAGAAACGAGGGCCGCACGAAATCTATAAGCACGTGGGGGTCGGGTATTTTGGGTGGAGGGACGAGGAAGACGGGGTGCTTTTGGAGCTAGAGGAAGACGCTTTTCGGAACCACAAGAGGAACAAACAGCAGAAGACCGACGCGAATGGTACCGGTGGGCCCGCCGTGCAAGTCACGGAAGTGGATCTGGACAGGCTTCTCGAAAAGGACTACCTGGCGGACGTGCCGTCACAGGAAGAAATGAAACAAATCATACTTGCCGAGAAGAAAAAGGCCTTGCTGGCAAGATTTTCGGTGTAATCCATCGGCGAACGATGCAATAGGCGTGTTCCTCCTAACTACGACTGTTGTACAGGGAACTATCCATTAGATGCGTAAATGCTTTTCTTGTTGGCTTCGTTTTGGCACACTTTGTTTTTTGTCGTGAACATCGTTGCGTTGCGTTGCACTGCACAAGAATACTGCAATTCGGAGTGTGCACGATTGATCAAAAACAGCTACGGAACTCTGCACTCGGCAGACGGAACAGAGTTGATTCCAGTTTTCGATTTGACAGCTATAAAAGTTAAGTTACTGCTACGGTTTGATTCGAATCGACAACGTTTCGTTTTGCGCCCATCACTTTCTTCCCCCCCCGCGCAGCTTCGTCTTGAGTTCCAGCAGCGCGGTTGGGCCGATGTTCAGCGCCGCGAGGCTCGTGTTGTTGTTGAGAAACTTCCCGGCCCCGCCGACCGATTTCAGCTGGATTTTGTTGGGGGGCATCCCGTTTAGGTGGGTCTTGGACAGGACCGCCTTGACGTCCTTGACGATGGAGGTCACGTCGATGCCCTCGAGGGTGAGCGTCTGTCCGAAAAAGTTCCAGTTCTGCTGGGCAGAGTCGTTGGGGACACGGATCTGTAGCTCCACTTTTGGCCCGGCCAGCGTGGCGATGAACTCGTCCGCCGGGAGGAGTTTTTGTTCCTTCGCCGGGGGTGGAGGCGGATCCGTGCCGGAAGGGTTCGCAGCATCGGCGGCGGGTGGCGCTGCCGCCGACAGCGACGGAGCCATGGTCGCTCCCGTCGCTTGTTGGTCCGTGGGAAGGACGGGAGGCGCCCGGGTCACCAACGGGGGAGCCACGGTGACCTTGTGCTGTTGCGGAAGCTCCACGGCCCGCGGCCGCTTCGGGGGCGGCGGTTCCGCGCCGTGGCCCGCGGGAGCGGCGTGGAAGCGCTTGGAAGGAGTTGTCCCCGCGGGCGGCTCCGGCCTCCCCGCCGACGCGGGCCCGATGGCGGACGCCGCCGGTGCCACGCCCTGCCGGTGGGGGCCGGCGGCCGGAAGGGGTGCGACCGCTGCCGCGGCGGCTCCCTGCTCCCGGGCCGCGAGCCGGGCAATGTTGGCCACCACCGCGTCCCCCCCCACCAGGTTGCTGTCCTTTTGCTTGTCCCGGAACTTTTTGCGTTCCTCCGCCCACTTGGGGTCGAGGAGCTGGATGCGCATGTGCTCCGGCATGTCGGCGACGGAGACGCTCTTCCCGGTGAGCGGGTCGACGGCCCTCGCGGTGGAGGGGTCGAAGGCCCCCACCACCCGCGGCGTGTACGACGGAACGACCCGGATGTTGCCCTCCTCGTCGTCCTCGTCCGAGGATTCCTCCATGTCGTTCCCGCCCCCGGGGGCCTCGGCGGCGCGGGCCGAAAGCGGACCCACGGTGGTCGTGCCCGTGGTCGCCGGGAGCATGGACAGGCCCGCGTCGACGTCTTCGCCGATCGGAAAGTCGATGGTTTCCACCACCACAAAGTCGTGCCAGTCGATGGCGTTGGCGATTTCCCCGTCTTCCATTGCGCCCGGGTTTTCTTGTTGCTTCTGTCGCCGCCGCTCGAGCTCGCGCTCGTATTCGGTCCGGTAGGCCGCATCGTTGAGGACGTCTTCCGGCGTGCTGCCTCCGTTTGGGGCCGTTGGCCCGGGGGGGGATTCGTTGGTGTCCGGCTTGGGTTTCCCTTCCGCGGCGGCCGTGTACTCGGAGAGAATGACCCGGTAGGCATCGACCAGTGCCGAAAAGTAGGCAAAGTGCACGTTGCGGGGCTGGCAAAAGGCAAAGGCCGGGTTGGCCCACTCMCTGTTGACCAGGGCCGGCAGGAAGGGCCCACCCTTGCCGTCCATCGCCACGAACTGCGCCACCAGCTGGATCGTTTCGATCTGCGTCGGGGTCAGGTGGTAGGGCGCCACCACCTTGACCGCGTCGAGGGGTTTCGGGGGAGCGGGGAGGGGCAGCGGGCCGCTGTGGTTGCTGCCCGAGGGATCGGCGTTTGGATTCGAATTCGAATTCGAATCAGCATCCGCGCCGCCGCCATCGGTTTCGGCTGCCGTTGTTTTTCGCTTTTCCCGTTCCTTCTTGAGGTGGTTCGTAATCACCGATCGCTGCCTCAGTATCGCCCTCGCCACGGGGTCCATGACACTCGCTTTTTGTTTCGTGACCTTGTCCTTTGGCTGGGTTGTTTGCTGCTCGGAAGCACCGGCACCGGCATTGGTCTTGCCGGAAGCCTCCGCCCCGGTGGAGGCTTGCGGCTTGGCTTCCCCGCTCGATTCCCCCTCTTTCTTCTTCTTGTCGTCGGTCTCCGCCCCTCCGCCCTCCTCGAAGTGGCGGATCCGGTCCTCGTAGTAAGCGTGAAAGGGCGAGGTGGTCTGCAGAAAGGCAAACTTGGGCGTCTTGCCCTTGGCGCTGTTCAGGATCCTGGATTCGAAGGCCCGGCCGTTCTTGGCCACGAACATGGCCGTTCGATCCGCGACGACCCGGATGTCCGGAGGCGGACGGATGATCCCCTTGATGGCCATTGGGTTTGGGCTATTTTTGTTTGTTGTGTTTCGCCGCTTTGCTCCGGGGCAAGCCTTGCTTGTGTCGCTGCTTGTGTTGTCGCCGTCGCTGTCGCTATTGGTATTGGTTTTGGTTTTGTTTCGTTGATGTGAAACAAAACCCATGCCACCGGCTGAAGCCCTACGGTACGGTACGGTACGGTACGAGGTACGGTATGCGGCATGCGGCGGCGGTGTGATGGTTGTCATCTTATGGTCTGTACGTACGGGTATTCTGTACGCTACGGTGTAGTCCTCCATTGTAGGTACCAGGTAGCCATGATTCCTGGACTCGCGCGCTACCGCGCAAAAGTATGGCACAGTAAGAAAACAACCGTTATTTTTGGACTATTCTTTGTAGGTTTGGAAGGTACGTACCGTATCCTACTAGTAGTGGTAGACCCATAGCAGCGCACAGATTGCATCGAAGGCGTGGGAAGGCATCCCGCCGTGCCGATCGTGGGCAGTTTCCGGCGCTGCTAAAAACCAAAAATAGTTCGGGGTTCGACACTGCTTCGCCTGCAGAGCGACGAGTTAGTTCGAAACCGAACATGACGTCGTCTCTAACGGGCATCTTCCAGGTGCGTGCCTCGCATTTCATTAAGTACGAGTACGAGTACGAATGCGAGTACGATCCCTACTCCTACGAACCGTTGCCTAATGTAGCACACGGTACGAACAACAATGCGAGCAAAAGAAAGAAGTACGCGTACGCGTACATCACTCCTGCTTGCGAGGCGGTCTTCTGACAGATGTGCCGCATCGTGATGGACATCAGCCATTTGACAGTTTTGTGCCACGTAGACGGAACGTCATGACAGCAGGTCCAATCACAATTAAAATACGACTACAACGGTGGCATTTTTGTGTCTCGAGGCAGATTGGCACACGGAGAACAGTGAATTGAAGTTCTTTGGGAATACTGCACTACAACGCCCCATCCGTAGATAGCGAGACGCTGGTGTACGGGATCGTTCGTATTGGCGACAAGCGCATCGGAAAGATCCCTCGTCACAGCGGCAAGCAGCAATATGTTCTGATTGCCAAAAAGGAAGAGACACGAAACTTCGTTACGAGTAGCCCGTGAAGTCACGTACTGTACGGCACGAGACGGATACGAATTCTTGACGATCGGCTTGTTCCATATTATTATCGTTATTATTATTCTTCAACCGAAGACTTCGGTGCCAATTTCTCTATCCGATCTCCGATAGCAGCACGGTACCCAATAAAACACCAAAGCACGAACGAAACCACAGCGGACAGCAACCAATCCACCAACGACCATGATCCTCAGGAACCTGCAGCTGAACGGGAAAGACAGGAGGGAGCTCCACGGCAAATTGTTCCACGGTGCCGATCGGGGGGCCCACGCCTCCCTGACCCTGAGCAATATATCTACCAGCTTTGACGACGACGACGAAACCGACGACGCCGCCTGCGGCAGGCATCGGTCCAAGAGCCCCGGGGCGGGAAGCCTAAACTGCGATTTTCTGATGGAGACCGACCCGGAGAGAGACTCCATCGGCGAGTCGAGGATCGAAGAACTGACGATCGAGCGGTGCCGCCTCGACCTGGAGGGCGCCCGGGTGCTGGGAAAGGCCCTGGAGAGCTCCTGTAGCGCCGTCTCGGGCCTCCGTTCCCTCAAGATGGACGGCGTGGTCTTCTCGGACGGGGGCTGTTCCCTCAACGAGTCCGGCCTCCTCCTGCCGATCCTCGAGGGGATCGCCTCCGCCAGGGGGGGAAGCCCGGAGGCCATCGAGCTCCGGAGGGTCCCCCTGCCGGCGGCCCCCGAACTCCGGCGGAGATTCTTTGCGGCCCTCGGCCGGTGCAAAAACCTCCGGTCGCTGCGGCTGGTCAACTGCGACGTTCGAACGGAGGACGCCCCCGGGCTGGCGGAAGCGATCGCCTCCCTCTCGGACACGCTCAAGTCCCTGGACCTCTCCCGGAACGACGTGGACGGGTCGGGTCTGAAGACGCTGCTGGAAGAAGGACTGAGGGGCCACGGGAGCCTCGAGCGCCTGATACTCTCCCACAATCCCATCGGAGACGACGGGGCGATCCATCTGTCGCGCTTTTTTTCTCGAGCCTCCAACCACTCCACTGCAAGAGCTGCAGCTACAGCTACAACGACGGATTCAAACGAGCACGCGAGAACCAGGATTAGCTCCCTGTGGCTGGTCGACTGCGACACGTGGTCGGCCGGCTGCAGCGCCCTCTCCGAGGGCCTCCGGGACTTTGACACCCTGAGCGAGCTGGTCGTCGACGGGGAGTGGGACAACCACCTGGGGGCGGTCCTGGAGTCCCTGCGGACGAACGTCGTGCTGAAGCAGCTCTGGATCGTCTCCACGGACCACCCCTGCTGCGGCGACGACAGCGGCAGCGACGACGAGGCCCCGGACCACGAGAGGATCCTCCTGCGGGAACAGATCGACTACTACCTGGCGCTGAACCGGGCCCACCGCCGCGTTTCGGTCGAGCCGGGCCTGTCCTTTCGGCTGTGGCCGACCGTCCTGGCGGGACCCCCGGGGGGAGGGGAGGGCCCCCCCAGGGGGACGCCTTCCAAGGCCGCTGCGGCCAACGCCAACCTGTGGTACCACCTGCTGCAGCGCCGGCCCGAGCTGGTGGCGGCGGCGGAGTAGCACCGCACGGAACGGGCAGAGGATGGGTTGGTTGGTTGGTTGCGGCGAGAGGCCGGTTCGTTCACGCACCGGTGGAACTACAATCGCAAACAAGAACAAGGCCGCTTGTGTGTGTCACCACCTGCTCTCATCGAATCTTTTTCATAGCTAGTGGCACTTTGCTGGAACGGATTGGATCCGTTTCGATACATTCTTGCATCATGACTATAATAGTATTATGATTCATATTTCCAAATGCCACGCCACGCCGGCAACTGCATAGATCGTGCATTGAAAATACTTTCAAGGATTCTACCTGCTCTGCGAAAACGATGGGAGTCTTTGCATGCCCGTCTTGGTACTTCAGGAGAACGGGGCAGAGGAAATAGTTCGGAAATTGGATACGAGCGGGGGATATCGTAATTTGTTGAGATCAAAACATAATTTTTGTGATTCACGTTTCCCTACGGTAGCCAGTAGCCAAGCCCCTTCAGTTTCATTGCCGTACGTACTTAGGGTACGTTCATATGTACCTATCAAGTACTGTATGAACACATCGCCTATCGCGTACGTTTCATTTTGAAAGAAAAGATCCATGGGTTCTGTTCCAGACAACAAAAAACACTTTTGGCCCGGTTCCTACGATGCCGGTCGTACTGGTCGTACGTAACGTCCGGCACCGTAACGACGACGAGAACCTCTTCGCACCGCAACGGCACATTTGGGTGACAACGCAAGATACTGTACATCGATCGTTCGAGAGAAGCCTCGGCGAGCAAAACCAAACCAAAGCGAACACACACCATGATCCTCGTCCGACCCCGGGGCTTCAGTTCGAGACGATCCGGCAGAACGCTCCTTGTTGGTGCCTCCATCGCTGCCCTTGCATCCGCATTCTCTGGAGGGGGATTCTTCGCCCACCCGGCCCGGTCTTTTGCGGCGGGCAGAAGCATTAGCAGAAGCAGAAGCATTAGCAACATTAGCAGAAGCACGAGCGGCTGCCCTTCCACGGCCATGCGCGCGGCGGCGACCTTTCTCGACACGGTGTCGACCGCCGCGTCGGAGACCCTCGGGAGGGAGGTGAAGCTGACGCCGACCACCGGGGGAGGGGCCTCGGGAGGGGGTGGCGCCAGCACCGGTGCCCTCCTCGACGCGGAGACCGACACCCGGTACTTTCTCAAGTCGGCCCGAAACGGATACGACATGCTCCGGGCGGAGTACGAGGGCGTCAAGGCCATGTCGGAGACCTCCACCATCCGCGTTCCCAAACCGATCGCCTTTGGGAGGCACGAGGCCAACGACCAGGCCTTTGCCCTCTTTGAGTACCTGGAGTTTTGCGGGAGCGGACCGGGGGGACAGTACGAGCTCGGGGTGGCGCTGGCGAAGATGCACAAGGCAGGGGTGTCCCCGAACGGGGAGGCCCCCTTTGGATTCCCCGTGGACAACACCATCGGTGCGACCTTCCAGCCGAACCTGCCCTGGCGCGAGAACTGGGCCGACTTTTGGGACGAGCACCGGCTGGGCCACATGCTAAGGCTGACCGGGAACGCGGGGGGCCTCCCCTCCGACAAGATAGAGGCCCTCCGGTCGAAAACCAGGGAGCTCCTCTCCCCGGAGGCCCGGGGGGGAGACCCCGTTGTGGCCAGCATCGTCCACGGCGACCTGTGGGGGGGCAACAAGGGGTTCTGCAAAGACCCGGAGGCCCCCGGCGGGATCGCGCCCACCATCTTCGATCCGGCGTGCTACTACGGGGACCGGGAGGTCGACGTGGCCATGACCTACGTCTTTGGTGGCTTCACCGGCGACTTTTACGACGGGTACGAGTCGGTCTGGCCCCTCTCGGAGGGCCACGAGAAGCGGAGGACCGTCTACAACCTCTACCACATCCTGAACCACGACGTCCTCTTCGGTGGCGGGTACATCCGCCAGGCCCGGGGGATGATCGACGAGATCCTGCGCTCCTGAGGCGTTCTGCAAATTCCTGACAACAGTTCGTGGCACAGTACGCAAATTCCCCCGTTGTTTCCCATTTGCCATTGCAGGCATTATGGTCTGTACTGTAATGGTATCGAAGAATACGGCAATAGAAAAATGCAATGATTGCAAGTTAATTTCTTTTATATATAGTATTTGAAAGTCAAATCTGTTCCATGCCGCGTAGTATTCGTGTTCGACCACACATTGAAACAATACGAGATACCCATGTGATAGCAAGCTTTGCTACAATCGGAAGCAAGCGCTTTAAAAATCATCGCCCTGTTCTATGTACACCACGACAAATGAACACGAAGACTAATCTATGATTTGTTCTCATCGCATATTTACGATACAAAATCCCTATCTAAAACGGTGGAACAAAGTTTGATTTAGTCAAGAACGGCGAAGTATTTCTGTACATGCGAGTTGTACGGCGTGTAGACTATATAGCTATTTTGGTTTTATTCCATAATGCGGGTATGCAAGTACGCAACTGCTAGCCAAATCTAAACTTCTTCGACTACCTGCATCTCTGCCCCGGCTTCCTCTAATCGCGCCATGCACTGTTTTGGAAGGAGGATTGGCAACAAGACAGAAAACGAGGCGAGGGAAACAAAAACAACGTGAGTCTTGAACCTTGCAAGCGTGCATCTGCACGTGCTCAAAACCTGCTGATGCAAACCCTCCGGCATGCGTCCTTCTCGCTGTTGTTGAACACACCAAATTTATACTTACAAAATTGCGCAACTCTTCTTCCATGATGCCAGCGGGAACGTTTTCCAGTTTCTCCCCGTCCGGAATCGGGCAGTCTCGCAGCAAATCCCGCAAGACGGCGTCCTGCTCCTTCCCCTGGCTTAGGATCATGATCTTTTCCTTCGTGCTTTCCCGCAAGAGCGGGGACGCGATTTTGTAGAGCGCCCCGAACCACCTCGGCGCGTTGATAAGGAAGGTCCGGTGGGACCGTTGCGGAAAGTGTGCGTCCATGGTAGACAAAAAGAGGGAACCGATCCGGAGCTGTTCTCTCTTTCGCAATATCGACATGTTCAGTTCCGTCAGATCAATGATAGAAGTCATGGTTGCATCGGGTTCTGGGTCGATGATTCTCCACAGGTATTCCATAACATAAATGTAGTGAAAGAGCAATTCCTCCCCCGTCAAACCGTTCTTATGGGCCAGTTTGACGTTCATAAGACCCGGTCTCTGCAAAAGAATAACGTGCTGGGTATCATCGCGTCCGCAGAAATAGTGCGGAAAGACTGCCTTCGAGACATCGTATTTGGGATGCGGTCGGGCCAAAATCGTGTCCACGTCGTTCTCTTCTCGCCACTTTACGGTATTCATGAGAGCCGTCTTGGCCAAATCACGGCGGCCTCCCTGCATGTTCAGATACCGGGTGGGAATCCCATCAGGATCGGTTTCGTGTCCATCGCCTTTTTGAAAGACCGAGAACGTGTAATCGGTGGGCGAGGCACTAGGCTCGGAAATCGATTCTTGAGAGGGAACCGGATGTTCGTCGTCCGCTGAGTCCAAATGTTCGTTCTCGATCGTTGTTGGTTTTGGACGGCTGCCATTCATAGGAAGTTCACCCGTAGTGGGAGAAGATGGCGACGATAAGTCTTCTTCGACGTCATCCACTTCTACCTCGTTCTCTTCGTCTTCCAGAACGGTGATACTGCTCACATCCATGCTCCTGTTGGTGTTTTCTGCGGCACCTTCGGTGCTTTCTTCCAAAACAACAACGTCGTTGGCCGCATCTCCGAGTTTTCCTCCGCGGAGTTTTAGGCAAAGGTCTCTCGTCTTTTCCTTCATGGGGTTGAGATGGAACCGTTCGTGTGCCTCCAAAAATGGTTCACATGCCCATTGAATGGCTGGCAAATCGTAAACTTCAAAGCGAGGGACATTGATGCCATCGTTGTTTCTTTTCGAGTCAACCGCGCTAGAAGCTTCTCCCTCTAGAAACAAAAACACCAGTGTCACCACGAGTGCAAAGGAGAGCAGCCGGAAAGTCTTCCGGGATGTTCCACCAATAGAACTCATCTTATCGATTGTTGGATACTGAGTGGTAGACAATACGAGATCGATAAAGTCAACTAGCCCTTTCGCTCGTTGCTATCGCAGTTGACTTGTTGCGTTTGCCGAACTGTGATTTGCAGTGTAAGCTGGCAGATTTCAAGGTGTGGTTTGGAACAATCGATGGCTTGTATTGTGACAAGCACCACGCGGGACTTCAATAACAATCTCAGTAAAGCACGCTGCTTTCGATTCGTGTAGGGGCGAAAAGACTTGTAGTAAGCCTAGTGGTACCTCCGGCAAAGTCTACCCCACTTTGACTCTGCTTTGCAACGTAACGAAGGATGGACGTAGAATACGAACCTGGGAAGAGATAAGTACCGGTAGGAGTAGTACGGTACAGAAAAATACGTGGGTGGAAAACTCGTGCGTAGAAACCAGATGTATTCTTTTTTTGACGATTGCCAAAATTTGTGATTTGTGACACGCAATCTGATTGGCTCTGGTTCGAGAAGTAGCAAACATGACATATGCCTTCCTTTTTTAAGCGATAGAATCGTGTAAGTAAAATCAAGTGCGTTATCCGATGCCAAAGTTCGCCATAAATAATACTTCTTCAGATTTTGTTTGTGAATTTTGTTCTTCCCATTAATTACTTTTTGATGGTCGCCAAGTTGTATCATTGCATCCGAATTCCGGTGTCAAAAGCAGATGACGTGGATGAATGCTTACACGTGACGACAACGTTGACATCTCTTTTTACATTTACGTACCGGTATTGATCTCAGAGAAAAAAAGGATCCGGATCAATTACTGGTACCGAAAAACCAAAACCTCAATACAGTACAGAGGAAACAACCCTTACACCGCCCATAGCTTGGATTTCAAGGGTCAGCAAACCTGCATCGGCCCTGTTCCCGACTTTACGCGTAACGAAGAGACATGAGAGAAAAAGTGAGAGTGTGCGCTGGCAATTGCTGGCACAGCGCAGTGGAGTTGCCATCGAAACAACAGTAGTAAAATATACTACTGGAACTATTTTACAAACTACTAAGGCGTTGCTTTGCTAAATGAAAACTATGAATTACTTGTGCAATTAGTGGTGCTTGAAAGTCGGATTTTTGCCAAAATGAAGGTGCATACTACACACGGTATGGCACCATAGAAGTGCTGGTATTACTATGTGTAGTAGTACTACCCTAGTATGTGTCGTACCCTAGCAGCTGACATGTCATTACAAATGCAAAGTATACATGTTATCACTGGTTGGTGTTCTCTACGTTATTTGAAACAATTAAATCATCATCATCGCCATCCCGTCGTCGTCCGGGTGGATCGATCGTTCCAAATCGGCAACTCCACCAACGATGCTGCTTGTTCGTCTGCCGTACTCGCGCAACCATTCGGTAGGAGTCAGCGTTCCCAAAGCCAGCTTGTTGTCGTTGTTGTTGTTGCCCCCTCCGTTCAGATTGCCTTTGATTCTTTCGTCGTGCCTCTGGTGTCGATCTTCTGCTCTCCAGCACCAGCCATGGCCAAACTCTCCCTTTTCTTGTTGTCGCTGCTGTTGTTCCCGTTGCCCCATGAGCCGGATGTCCGTGCTGAGTTCCTTGCCGAGCTGACTCCGGCACTGCTCCGTGCAACCGCGGGCTACCTCCTCGAGGCTAGCGTCCTCCACAAAGACGCAGCTTCGGTACTGTCCGGTGTTCAGGGCGTGCTTGCCGTGTGCCCGTACCTTGGTGGGATCGTGCATGGCGAGAAAGCAATCGAACAGGACGCTGCTGGGGCACATTCCGGGGTCGTACACGACGGATACCACCTCCGCGTGGCCGGTGCTTCCCCCCGAGACGTCCTTGTAGACCGGGGAGGAGGTGTGGCCCCCGGCGTAGCAGGCCGTGGTGGATCGGATCCCCGGGAGGCGCAGCAGTGCTTGCTCCACGTGCCAGAAACAACCGCACCCCAGACACACCCGCTCAAACCTTCCGTGCTTCTCCAGCACGACTTTCAGGAGCCGGTGCGACGGCGAAAGCCCATCAGCATCGTCCAGGGATCGCCAGGAGGTCGGGAGCGACCCCGCGGGAAGGAAACTGGGTGACGGCGACGACGGCGGTGCACCGAGGGTTTGTTCCGCGTTGCTCGATACAAACCTCAGCGCGCTCGCATTGATGCAGTAGCCCTCGATTGGGCCGAAGTAGTGGCCGAGGTGGCACCGCGTCCTCGCGCACACCACCTCGATGCGCCGGTCCGCGGAACCTTCCTCCGGATCGATGTGGAGCACGTGCGAGCTTTCCAGCGGCCTCGCAAAGGACAGCCACCCCGAAGAGCCGGTAGTAGGGGAGAGGTCCTTCGAGGAAAACAGCGGGAGTCCCCCGATGGCGGCAAAAAAGACCCCGTCCGGGATGTCGGACTGTCCGGCGGATCCCCGAAAGTCGATTCCGTTGCAGGTCGTTTTCGTGTTGGGTGGATCCGTCCGGCCGTGCAGCAGGACCCCCCGCGAATGCGGATTGCCCGACAGGTTGGTGGTGTCCGCTTCCCGCAGCACGTCTTCCTCGGAGAGCGGCGAGACGTCGTATCCCAGGGGCGAGAGCCGCAGGGAACCGCTGCCACCGGCGTCTTCCACAGCCACGGCGGCGGCCCCCCACTTCGGCCGGTACTCCGCTTCGGCACTGGCGTCGTCGATGTCAAAGGCCGAGACGGGCTCGCTCTCGTCGGGATCGAGAAAGCTCCAGCCGTTTGCGACAAGGACGTTTTCTTCCCCGCGCACCATCGGGACCCACCGGGGCGGCTCGAAACCGCCGCCGCTGCAAGCCCCCGCCTCCGGCTGGGACAGCAGCCGCAGCATCCCCGTGGCCCTCGATAATTCGTAGCAGCACACCGTGGGGTCTTCCGGAACCGTTTGCGCGAGGCCGACGCTCCCGTACCCCGCCGCTTCGAGGGCGTGCAAAAAGCCCCGTTCCTCTTCGGTGGGCGTGACAAGGCCCGCATCGGACCGGGAAGTTCCGACAAGCAGCACCGCCGACGGTGGTTTCGCGTTTGCACCGGGCTCTCGGAACCCGGGGGAAGATCGAAGGCTCGTGGTTCGGATGGCCACTTGCCCCGATAAATCCGTAACAATTTTCGCACGCACGGGATTGTCAGAGACGTCCGGACGGAAGACGGTCGCCTTTCCCCCTTGCGGAGAAAACGAATCCACAACCAATCGGCGGTGGCAAAACCACACCGATATGGATAGCGAGAGGAGAAGGCGCATGCCACTGTTGCCTCCTTTGAACCTACTAGTACTGAAGGTCACCATCCTCTATCGATATCTAGCGTTGATGAATGGCCACCTAGGGAAGGTACGGAATGTTTGTAACAGTTTGTTGCTGCGTGCAAACCTAGAATATTTAAGTTCCAAAGATCGTCCAGTTTCGAAAATCCAAAAGTTGATGACCGATGATTCCTACGGTACCGTTACTGGAAACCTACTGTACTAAATTTTAATTACTGGAAATCTACCGATCGGATTAAAAACATCTTTCTTTACTGGAAATCTACCGATACACTTTCTTCTTATCTATTTCAACCTTTTTTTAACCTCCATTTTCCGTTCACGAACCAACGGACTTTTAAAAACTGCACGCTAGTCTCCCTCACCTCCTCCCTCACTGCCCCCCTCTCCCTCTACTTCAGAACACCTTTTATTTCCAAAGAGGACCTTCCAACCGGAGTTTCCGTTCGACAAATTATTTAATTTGGTTTACAAAGCACGTGTCATTCTTGGTCGGGGGTTAAAAAAAGGTTGAAATAGATAAGAAGAAAATGTATCGGTAGATTTCCAGTAAAGTAAGATGTTTTTAATCCAATCGGTAGGTTTTGAGTAACTAAGAAAACGAACGGTAGGTTTCCAGTAATGGTTCCTGATTCCTACTGTATTTTTTTCTTAATTTTCGTTTGGACCATATTACTGTATTGAATCGACTGAATCATTTATTTCCTTCTTACGGATCTGGTAATAATTAGAAGTAGAAGTATTGTATCTCCTGTGCTGCACATCATATCAGGTACGTACGTGCATACGTACGAAGCCTTCGTAGTACCATAAAGAGGTTTTTGCTTTTTTTTACTTCTAAATCATAATTTTTTCGTTTGTTTGCGGTCGAGTGAGTCCATTCACAAACCTAAGTACGGTTCGTCTGGCAGGACCGTACGAATACGTACAGCCCGTAGGCGAGTTCGCATCGTGAGGTTTCGACATCGTACATACTCGTACCGTTTACCCAACGGTACAATTTATCGCACATTCGCAGAAGAAATACCGATGATGGATTCATTCATTCGGATTTTTATCGCGACGAATCCCAGGGACGGTCCTTAAAACGAGAACTGGAACTTTCAGCATGAAAATAATTTAAACTGGAACTTTTTTCGGAAGGCTGTTATAAAATTAAATATAAACTTACTTATAGACAATATAAACTTACTTAGAACAACTTTTCCTAATTTCTTGTTTTCTTACGGCAGCTTCGGCAGCTCAAATTCACCAAAATAAACAGTCATTTCATTCCTTCACATGCAAAGTGCTTTGTGAAAGCGCTATTCTCGAGAGCAGCGTAATTTGTCATCTCATCTCATCTCTTCTGTATTCCATACTCGTACCAACAAAGCGAGCAATGCATTGCGTATTTCTCTCACTCCCAAAACTAAACAAGAACCGCAACATTTCGACGGCGATGGCTTGAAAATCGAGGACACCACCAGCAAGATCGACGCAAGGATCCCATCCACCTCGCTGCCCAAAATGACGGAGGGATCCGGAAGCAACGACAGTGATGCTCCTTCCGGTTGCCTGCTGCTGGATTTCCTGCCCCGGGAATTGCTGGCGGGATCCATATTGGCCCGCTTTCTCGATGGAAGGGCCCTTGCCAATTTCTGGTGTGCGACCATGTCCAAGAGGGAAATGCTCGTCCGCCGCAGCAGCCCGAGAAAGCTGCGCAGCAAGAGAAACTCGCCGCTGTCGATGGTGGAAGAGATCCTGCAGGTTGCGCGTTACCGCAGAGCCAAGCTGACGGAAGACGGAGCCGGCGGCAACGACGAGGACGAGAACGAGAACCAGACCGACTCTCATCGTTTCCGCCTGCGGAGCCGCGTCTTCATGGCCTTTGAGGAGGCCGCGGAAACAAAAAAGGCGACGGGAAACGATGCGGATCGATGCGGCGGCAGTGGCGAGAAATTGGGTGTAAGCGAGAGAGACACTGAGCACCACTTTAACCTGGCGGAATTTCTCCGCCTCTCGAGAAGGACCTTTGCAAGCCTTTCTGCCATGGACTACTGCGAAACCGTCGCACAAAACCTGATCTGGACCGGCGTCGTAACGATCCGTGGCGTCGATCACCGCAAAACGACGATATGGGCCGTGCTTGTGGTCGATCCGTGGAGGTGGTCGATGAAAGAAATCCGGTTGTGGAGGAACGCGTCGACCTCCCGGGCATCCGCTTGTTCCACATCCGCGGCGCAGACGGGACCGCCTGCCATCGAGGCACGGGTGGTACCCCACAATTTTCTCCCGGTGGGCCCCAACCGCGGCCGCTTGGTGGGCGTCACGGAGGCCGATCGGATTGCCCTGGGAAGGATTTCCGCGGATCTGAGCGAGAGCGGGCTGGTGGCGAGGTTCTCCTGCGTGACCACCAACACCGGGGCGGCCTTGACCGGGAACGCAATTACCGATACAAACTCGGACCACCGCAACGCCAACAGCGGCGGCCAGTTCACGGTCAAGCTGATGGCCTTTGATCAGGCCCAGGAGAAACTGGACACGGTCTTTCGCCGGGGCAGGGAGCCGGGGGGGATCCCTCTGAGCGACGAAAAGAAAGGCATGAGTCTCGATCTCGATCGACACCGCAAGAAAGCGCTCGGTGGTGCCAAACAACAGCGGTACCCACAAGTCGACACGAACAACAGTTGCATCGATTATGGCAGCGATTTAGAACTCAACCACGACGACCACAGTCTGCTGTGCTGCTGGAGTCACGAATTTCTATGGGAGGAGTCCCGAAACTTTGCCGTGGAAACCTCGCACGCGTTGCGCTATTTGGCCAACGACTATGCGGCGCTGGAGTGGTAGGCCAAAAAAGACGCCAAGAACCAAAAACAGGAAACAAATGAACAAACAAGCACCGAGAGATTGCAATCACGAAGGTTGTGGAAGATGCCGAACCGAACACTGTAATTTTGTCGCCCCCATTCCTTGATGCTGCTGTACTGTTGGAGCTACGGATGGGAGCAGTCTTCTGTACCCGATCGCAATTGCCAGCCTCGCGGCAAACAACCAGCCGATTCTGCTTCCAAAAAAGGGTGGCGGTTCCTCAAACCTTTTGTGATCCTGCTTTCCGCGGCTCCAAACGGTTCCGAGTCAACAGTGGCTGTTCCCAAACGCGCAACATCGCCCTCGTCCACAAAAGTTATTGTACTGTTCACGCTGGTAGACAACAATGGCATGCTCGTTCCTTAGTGAATACTTCTATTCTTTATTGAGTAAAATTTTAGATCAATCATTTTTATCATAGTTGATGTGGACAAGGGATTGCCGTTTTTCTCTTCATATGTCGTCGCGATGAAATATGATCATATTCTCCATGTGTGTATGTATTATTTGTTTGTTTGTTTCTATCTGTAAATTTTTCCTTTCTTCTACAACTGTCCTTTTGTCGTATAGCATATTTCAGGCTGCTTTGCAAATTGCTTCCCTGATCGTTCCATCTTAGGCGATCAACTATCCCGTAAGATGAAGAGAGCGAGTGTTGTGATGACTCCTATCCGGTGCCTTCCTCATTTTGTTCATAGTTGAAGAGCTTTGCATATGCATCTCAGATGATTGACACAGTGAGTGAATTGATGAAGACAGCGAATGACGCGATGACCCTAGATCGATTTCTCCACCGTTCTTTTTGTAATTGAAGGGCTTAGTGTAAACTTCCGGCATGTCTTTGAACGTATACCGATTTGCAAAGAGCTGCAGTGCTGTGCTAACAGCCACAAAAGGCAGAACAGAGTAAAATATTGCCAACGCTGCCGCCTCAGCCGAAGCTCCTGGACCGACTGTGTTGAGAGACAAAGACATTGCATTCGACATCGACCTGATCAAAAACGGACTCAGAGCTGCTCCGATATTGGAGAAGAACAACTCATAGGCAGAGAATGTAACAACCTTCCATCTCGACGGCAAAACATGAAGCTTCAATATAGACAGAAGTCCAGCCTTGAGTTTGATGAGAAACGATGTTAGTCCTAGGAGAACAAGGACTGAGTTTGCAGAAAAATTTGGTGCCGACAACATGATCAAAGCCTGGAGTACAACAGGATTTATCAAGAATGTAGCAATAACACCGATACACTTTCGCCCTTCCATGTAACGATTGAAAACAGCTGCGAAGCAGTAGATGGCTGTCCCCTGAACAACCGATGACACTTGTATCCAAAGGCCTGTTTCTTCAGCAGAGTAGCCATCCAATAACAGCCAAGACACCACAAAAAGTGTTGGATAACTTATCAAGCCATCAATGATATGAGACAGTGACAGGAGCGGAAACGCCTGGAAGGATTGGATGCCGCTCAAAGGGACCCTTGGCAAAATCATTGTATTCATTTCCCTTTTCATACCCAAGTAAAGTATGCTGGCACCCAGAACCGTCAACGAAGCAACACAACCATAAATGATCAGTAATGTTGCAGAAAAAGCAAAGCCGGCGTCGTCGTCATAATCATCATCATCATTCGAGGGTCCCATGAACAAAAAGTTGTAGATAATGAAGCCTTGCACGATCCCTGAGAAACAAGTTCGTGAACCTTCTAACCAACCGTAGTTTCGAACCTTTGACCTGAGACTTCCATCCCATTCGTCAAAAAACATAGCGGCAGTGAATACTGGGCCACTGGCTGAAGAAATTAACCCAGTAACAAATGATATTGTCAATGCAGTGCCATAGCTACTGATAGGCGCAAAGTAAAAAAGGTATACCACATGTGCAAAGGCCGAAAAACATACGCACTTGCCAATCGGAAGTCGCTGCATGATTTGGATCCAAATAAGACAACCAATAGCAAAAGAAACGGTGTGAATAGCGTACAAGCCACCAATGAAGTTGTCACCCCAGCCGTAGGCTGATGCCCAAACAATCGCCTTCGCATAGATGAGTGTCGAATGGCTTGGCATCAAAATGGATAAAAGACAAACGATCCAGGTCTCAATAGTTCTTCCTATTACTTTTGCCTTCAACAATTGTTGGAAGTAAGTTTTGCTTTGTTCAGCATTCTTGACCGAGTCACCTGGCTTCCAAACAGTACTTTTGAAAACACTCTTGACGCTTGCTGTCTTCCCCGTTAATAGTTTATGGTTCAAGTTTTGTTCTATTTTGAAATTGCTTTTCACCTCATGTTGTGGTTCGTCTTCGTCACCATTAGGAACCCCAACATGAACTCCAGACGAATCAGAGTTTCGAATACGAGTGGTATCTTGTTCTAAACTTTCAGCATCCTTACAATCTCCCATATCATTCGTTACTTTCTTATCATCAACGCCATTCACTAAGTACAGATTGTCTTCTTCAAATGGAAAGGTCCATAATGTATCATCGTTGCCTCCATCAGCCCTCGGATTGCATTTCGTTGATTCTTCCACCTCTTTGTATAGCTCGTATAATTTAAATTGCCAATTCATCAAAGGAAAAGATGTACAAATACCTTCGATGCCAATCTCAAGCATTTTTTCTTGTCCTTCTTCAACAGCTTTGCTGACAGTACGACTAAGCTGCATCTTAATATGATTGAAATCACCTCCCTCCCAAAGCTTGAAATACCATCCTGGAGTCTTCCCTAGGCCACCAACCAACGAACCAATGACGGGACATCCGCAGTGTGCAAACTCGATGTCCACAAAGCCGAACGGTTCTGATCGAGACGGCATCAGTGCAAAATCACATCCGAGCCTATGATCTGCTGTAAACTTGTAGAATTTTGGTACGACGAAGATCCGCCTCTTGAAGAGGGGGTTTCGAGCAAGGTTGATGAGCCTGGTAGCTGCGTACTCGCCAAAAATATCACCCGGTGGTCCGACAACAACAAGCTGTAAGTTACCATGTCGCAAAAGTAGCTCTGTTGCGGCATCTGCAATTGCATCAACTCCCTTCTGGTAGACCATCCTCCCAACAAAGGCACCAACTATTGCATTTGGATTGACCTCAAGGTTCAAAACTTTCTGTAGCTCTTGCTTTTTGTACTTCTTTATGACACGGATTTCTTCAAACGATGTTTTTCCTTCTAATGATGAAGGACGATTAACCATGAGCTCAGGATTTGGCAAAGACCTCACCTTTAGCATACCAGCTCGAAAATTATCCAGTTGAATCGGTACCTCCTTTGCATACCTCTTCGAAACTGCACAAAACCCACGCCCATTCTGCTCCTTTTGAAAATGTGAAATTAGGCCACTAAGCATGTTGAACTGGCTATCATGAGTAAAATCTCTGAAAATGACCTCTTCTGGTATTCCACTTATTTTTGAAATACGTCCCAAAAGGCTTGGACTAAGATGGTTCATTATATTGCCTTGATAGGATGCATTGTGGAGGGTGCAGAGAGTTGGGATCTTCACGCCGTCTCTCTTGATGTACGTTGGGGCAAAGCTTGTGTGGTAGTCACATAGATGAAGTACGTCAATGGAGTTGCGGTGCCTCATGGCCAGCTGAGCGACAGTCAAATTCCACAACGTGAAAAAGTGGAGGAAGTAGTCTACGTCGGCAGAGTCATCAGGATACAACTCTTTGTCTTTGTCCATGCGTTTTCCAAACAGCCCATCGTGCTTGCAAAATATGCTCTCTACTTTGTGGTCTTTCCCTGGCCAGCGGAAGTGGAAAATTCGTACTTCTTCAATATTGCCTTCGACCTCGCAGTAAACAGGATCCGCCTCTCTCATCACTGGATAAGAGACGCCTCCCATCATAGGTGTTACCATGATCAATTCTCCTGGATGAAACTTTGCAACTACTTCCATCACCTTTCCCAGGCCGCCAACCTTCTGGTTTATTTTTCTAGACAGAGCAGTCTCGGGGACAATATGTTCGAGGGTACAAATCATGGCCCTTGTTTTGTTCATGTCATTCACGATCATTGTTTCTTCATCTTTGCAATCAAAGTTGGCATTCAACAAGGATATCTTTTCTCCGTTCTCAGGGATTGCACAAGAAGCATCGTCCTTTAGAACTATATCGCTTTCCTTGCTGAATTTCGTCAAAATCCAAACAGAAGCCACGACTGGTAGCAGCATCCACAAAAATATGATGAAAACGATGACGGTTGCAGGAATATTGCCTCCTTTCGGGGCAGTCATATCTCCTGTGTGGATGATGATGCTCTCAAGTGGACTGAGTGTGGCTTCCAAAATACCACGCGAGTCAACAACTAAGGTCTCCCCCCCATTACCCCTGGCGCCATTTCTGTACGTCCCAGCAGGGAGCCTAGTTGCAAACTGTTTCTTCACTGTGTCCTTATCGTGTGCATTGATTGCTGCCCATCCTCCCTTCAGCGGTCTGTTGGGTCCCTGACGCACGCTGCGGGAAATGGATACAAAAAGATCATTCGCAGTGCCACTCCCAATCCACTCATTCAATTTCAGTTGATAAGCACCGGCTCTTGCAACTTCTTTCCGCCACTTGGGCATTGCCGCAATACCAACATTGCGGTGTTCGCACATCCATCTTGAACCATCTTCTACAAATGCTGGCGATAAATCATGACGAGGCTTGTTGGCGGCATCACACAATACGCTTTGTGTGCCGCCATCGTATGTCCTAGGTGGTCCAGAACTAAACAAGGTATCGAATGGACGTCCATGTTCGTTAGTGATATAAGATCTTTGCCAGTCATAACCGGAATAAATCCTCGTGTACCCAACAGGCAAGGTCATCATCCAGATAGATCCTAGGGCAAGAAGGTGCTCATCCCAGGTTGACGTCAATACATTTGGACAAACGTTGTCATGGAATTTCCCATTGATATCAGCCGTGCCCTTTGAACTTGTGCAGTTTTCTACCCCATAAAACGTCAAGAAGTGATTTGTTAGCTGCAAGATTAACGCATCCAGAGGTATACGATCAGTTCTTTGTTTGTACATAGAATGTGAAAACCTGGTGGTTATAGAAAGTTCTGTGAGGTTTGTCAGGGTAGGCGATTCATCCTTGTTGTAAAAGGTGTCCCCAACTGCAAAGGACCAAGCGAGGTCTGTGTTGTATGTGTTGCTGCTGAGTTGATTGTAGGTGAAAGGTGTCATTGAGTCCGGATAGAAGGCCGGCTGTAGATGAGGGAACCGCACCAGCCAAGACGGCCACAAATCTACTATAAGGGTTGGAAGCATACTCCTGGCTCCTGTCTTTTCAAAGACATGTCGACGAATTTGATTCTGGCTCCTTGCAAGGATTTGTTCAACTTCCTTCGAATCAATATGGCCCACAGCCAGAAGGCGGAATCCTGAGACGCCTAGCTCAAGTAAGTGGTCCAGATACTTTGCGAGAGTCCTCTGAACGTGATCGGAGCTCGTGTTCAAATCTGGTAGACCAGTCATATCGCAATTGTGCGTTACATCAGGGCTCCCCCATGTTCCGATGTTGCCAATTCCACATGGAGGCGAATGCAAATCACCTGCATCGAAACCTGCAGTGGGAAAGACACGCTCAGCAGCACAGCTCTTTGAGTCGTCAATAAAGAAATTGTCACACGTAGGCAATCCGGATGACTGTGGAAGGTCACAACACGGTGCAGCATTCACCGAGTTCAAAGTAACTTCAACCCAAACCTGCACGCCATAGTGAGTACAAACTTCTGTCGCTGCCTTCAATTCTGCCTCACTTCCTGAACGTGACATGACGTTGAATGATGCCTGCTGATACCTTTCCCACCAAGGATACAATGGTGGCATCAAAGAATCTCCTGAATCATAGTTCTCAACAACTTTAGGACCTAAATTCATATGAGCGTTGATAGGAGAAAGCTGTACTGCTGTCCATCCCTCTTCACCCAACCTCTTGCACTCTCTTGCAACGCTCTCAAAATTCCATTCAAACAACTGTACAATTGCCCCCGAATTTAATTCAGCGTCACCTCCTTTTTGTTCATCTGCTTCTGAATCTGAATCTGCTTCTGCGTCTCCTTCTCCTCCTTCTTGAGTTGGGTTTGAATTGAACTCATCCCTCAGTTGTTTTGCTAGCTCGCATGTTCGGCCCGATGGTGGACATGAGACGTGAAGCATGGAGTTTAGGTCCATACTATCGATCCCATCAGCAGTTGTTAACCCATCCAAGACAGCATCAGGATTACATTTATCATACGTCCATGTCGAATCATCGAGGACAAACTTATATGTATGGTTCTGGCCGTTCGGGATATCAATATCCACTGAGTATAACCGTGAGTTGGAGAAGCCGTGATAGAAACTATCCTCTGGATAAAGTTTGGAGTACAACGTGTCAGAAGAGTCGTCATGTTGTTCCAGTTCCATTTCAATAGCTGACCAATTTGAGAATGATCCTGCCAGCATGACCTTAGATATTGGATGAGGTGCAATCGTAGACGGGTTGAGTTTGAAGGTCACAGTACAAGTATCACAGTTTTTATCGCTTGTTGTTATAGTCAAGTGGTCTTCACATGGATTGACGTTGCATTTTTTACCAGTCCAGCCATGTAAACAGAGGCATTCACCTTCGAAGCAGATACCGTTGCCCGAACATGATACACCAAGGCATGATGGGTCGGCATGACTATCGGTGCTCCTTATGTCTGCCCAATCGATTGCCACCTTCGTGTGGTTGGCTAACATTTCAGAATCGTTATCAGATGTCACATTCCTGGAAATTGTACCCTTGAAAAATCCTGGGTAGAACTCATTATAGTCAACGTCGTTCTTAATGAGGGAGGCTTTTCTTGGTGCATAGTAAAGACGTAATTCTTGGTTCTGTAATGCTGCACTGGAGATCGACGCAATAAGAGCGTGTTCAGCTTCGTGGAAACCATTCTTCCACACATGGCCTTTTGAATGGAGTGGACAAGATAAATATTAGCACGAAAGCAAAAAAGAGGAACGAATTCACTCTTGAGATAGCACAGAGTCAGATTCTGGTCTGCAGGATCTCAACACTTACCTTTGGCAAACTGTGGCTCGTGGGTCAGATAATCTATCCAGTGAAAGACACCCTTGTCCGGAGAGTCTGGATCAAGAAATAGGTCCATGTATGCGGAATATGCTTTTGAGGTGACTGCTGACGCTATAGAAGGATTCGAAACTGACATGAACGCGGCTGTTTGCGACAACTCAGCATAAACCCACCAAACGTGCCCAGAATTACTAACGCCAGACTCTGTCCTATCAAAAGCCCACGTCCCAACATCACCAGTGGTGACATTATGGAACAGCCTACGCGGAAGCCAGGCAAGTGGAATCATTCTCATCGCCCTCGTATACGCCCACTTAAACAACTCCTTGTCGTTCAAGTGCTCTGCGGTCATCATAATGAACCATAGACTTTTCTGGGAATGCCCGAAATCTGAGTGCACCGAGTTTAATACCTTATAATTTGCATTACCCCACATAATATTGAAGTGCTCATCCCAAAAGGAATCCTTAAGCGCGAGAGCTAGATCCAACATTCGTTTGTTCCATTGCGCAGAGTCCATCGATAGACCACGGAGAATCATCAGGTACGCATTTAGTTGGTCCAGCTGCGCCAGCATGTCCTTTCTGACTTCCAGTGGTTCACCTTCAAGCACCGGAACAGAGGGTTTGGCGCTCGTCTTGTTTGCCATTCCCATCATATACCAGTCCTCTCTGTACCATTGTGAAAACGTGTAATCGACAGATTTGAAAATGAAATTTCCCACAGCTTCGTCCCTGGTAACATAATAGAACATCGCAAGACCGATCAGGGCATTAGCATGCTCCATACTAGTTCGTTCATTCTCGTTGGGAAGGCACAATCTCTCAACCTTAGAAACATAGGTACAGATGGCTCCTCTGTCACCATCTACAAATTTTCTGAAGAAAACATCAACGCCAGCTTTTGCGTGCCGCAGCATTTTACTGTTTCCAGTCAGATGATAACCTACACTGTAGAAAAAGATCTGACGAGAGTGTTGGACAGCAATATCATAATCTGTGTAATCCGTGATCCACATCGGGGCTGTTTCAATTTCTTTGCACTGATTCATCTTTTTGTCGTATGCACCACCATCATCGCAACGATAGGTAGGAAAGTTTCCATATTCGTCTCCACCAAGTGCATCACTTGAGTTCCAAAATGGATAAAGATCTAACGACACGTGATTTTCCCAATATGTTTGATTGAAAAACTTCAGATTACTCAATTTGATCGATTGCAAAAAACTCGGTCTGCACTGGGGACTGCTGTCAGGCTTCAAGTCGCCGTCGACAGGCTGTAGCAAAATTGTTGCCAGTGGCGGGATTACTAAAGATTCAATGTAATGTAAATCAGAAATTGTCTTGGTTTCGTAGTAAGTTTTACCGTGTCCTGAATCAGCACTGGTTGAATCGAAGACAACCTTCCAAAATCCTGGAGTCGGCACCGAAAATATTGTAGCATTTAGAGTAGCTTCTTCGAAGTTCAACACGCCCGTTAGCTTGCCTCCCAAAGAGTCTTCAAGTTCAAAATCTAAGGCTGCAGAAGTTGGGAACTTATCTTGACCAGCTTTCACAAAAAAGTATTCGCGAGAAAAAATCTTCAGAAGAGCCTTTGTGCTCTCGTAAACTTTTTTTTTCTCACTCATCTCCGACTTAGGGTCACAGACTGGCGTCTCCAAAGCTACTTCGTAATTCAGACCTGGCCAATCCTTGCCAAAGCCTTCCCAGTCATGTGGCGGCGGCTTGGCATAATCGAAAGGCAATTTCTCTCCCAGCTCTTGGCCTTGGAAAATCATTGGCGTACCGCATGATATCAATGACAGTGCAATAGGAAGAATAAGGGCGCGCTGCAAAAGTGACTCATTCACGACAAGATCCTCTAAAACCCGAGCTGTCCTAGCATGCCCGTCTGCTTGAGAACTAGCAATGTCATGCGTTTCTGTGTATGATATCCATTCTCCATTATTTGGATCACACCGATTTTCAATAGTTTTCACAACTTCCATGACGCTCTTCCTGTCCTTACTGCGCATGGTCTCTCGAAAACTGTAAAACAAGCCGTTTCCCCACTGCGCGTCGAAACCAAGGCCATCTCCAGATGACTTTGAAGTTATGAGAGGATCGTTTTGCAAATCTTCCGCAATACTGAAACGGTTCATTTTGGATAGATATTCGGTGCTCTCACGCAAGAAGTTGGCCCCGTACTCATTTGGTATTGCATCAGGCTGCCAACATTCGCTATTGCTTCCACGTGACTTACGAATGCATACGGTTGCATCAAATCGTAGACCATCAACACCAAGCTCCTCTACCCAATACTTGACGTTGGACATCAAGTACGACACAACTTGCTTCGAAGAGTAATTGAATCGAGGTCCCCAGGGCGTGGTTTGGTCACCATTGTTGTAGAAATAATCACCGAACATACAGGGCACCTTTTCTTTGAAGTTGTTAGAAGGACAGTATGTTGAAGGCAAAGACCTATCGATGGACTTGTTTCCATTTGCCTCGCATTGATTTTGTCGGTCATATAACAACGTCCTGGCGGAGGCATGATTGTAGACGACGTCCATGTACACCTCTAAGCCTTCACCATGTGCCGCCTCAATGAACCTCCTCAGACCGTCGTATCCCCCTAGTTCTGATCGGATAGCAAATATGTGAGCTGTTGAGTAGCCCCAAGAGGAGTCATAATCTACGTTAACAGGCATGAGCTGAACAGTCGTAATTCCCAATTCGACGAGGTAAGAAAGACGAGAAATACAACCATCAAACGTTCCATCTGGACTGAATGTTGCCACATGCATTTCGTATATAACACGTTGACGACCAGCTTGGTTTCGAAGAGGTAGAAGTGGGAATTTGCTATCAACTGCGACGCAAAGGCTGGGGTCAATTGGATGAAGTTGTCTGCAGGTGGGTAATACTTTGTTCAGACGAGACCTGGTGTCGTCGAGATTCTCATTTTTGACCACTAAAGCGCAAAAAGATGAACCATCGTCATCATCGTCGCTATGGTTTGAATATGGCAAAAGCGCATCTTGAAGAATTGTGAAAGTGCCGTTCGACGACTGGAGATGAACTGGTTCTTCAAAGTTGCTCTTGGAGCAATATGCTTCGACGGATGTAGCACAAGGTGCAAACAAGGTATGGTACTTTGGGTCATCCCGTATCTTCGGCGCAGATAGATTTCTTATTGTCAACTTCGCGTTGAGCGACGAGTTCTCCAACTGATCATATTCATATGGAATGTAGCGAACAGAAAATGGAGAAGGTCAGACTTTGATACCGTTCATCGTTGTTTACAATGTTTCCAAAAGATACAGATATCTCTGAACTTACCTCCACCGTACGGCCATTGGATTGGCCCAATAATTCTCTTTCTTCTTCAACGATGATGGACGTTTTAGATGCGTCAACATTGTAGGCGCTGACTGCTCGGAGGGTAGTAGAGGATATCAATGCAGTTGTAAGTACTGCTAAAGTTCGAGGGGACATCATCATAAAGAAAGCTCTTAACATAAATCAATTGCGGAATTTCAACGATGGCGAGGGAACATCATGGTAGACAAAGATTGTAATCTGAGGTAGTTGCGAGATGTGAAACTGCCGAACAAATAGTACACGTAATCATACATCTCGCAGGAGTACAGCAATAACACCGTCATCCTTTTTCCGGACCAGTTGAATCTCCTCTGAGTCACGACGAGGGTGGTACGGTACTTCCCGAGTAAAGAAGGGGTTGATGGATACTTCTTCTTATGGAACGAAGGGATTCGATAGTTTCCCTTCTCAAGAATTCTCAAGAAGAAGAACCACCCTCTTTGTGAATCAGTGGAGATCGATAAACAGCTCACAGCGCCAACCTTGTCTTTGGTTGGATGATCCCTCCGTTTTGGAGTTCGTAGAAGCCCACGAGTCAGCAAACTCAGCACCATGTGCATTTCCTATCGACCATCAACCACAATCCATATTAGAAGTACTTCGTATTATTCTTTTGATAAATACTTCTATCCCCGCGAAGGCCGTACGTACTAGAAAGAAGAATAAAAGAACAACCAATACTAAAAGAAAAATATTAGAAGTACTTCGTACGAAGTACATCACCGCAAAAACGTTTACTGTACTACGCAACTTTTGTACTGTAACCGTTTACCCCAGCCGATTATCACATCTGTACGGTATCTGCAAAATGATACACATGTATTTTTTACCGTTGTTTGACTGTATATTATATGGTACATATTCTCGCACCCCTCATATTTAGTGGTACGAAAWTTTTKTTGTGTACATTTYTACGGTGCTGATGTGTGTACTTGTATTATTTAATTAACTACCGGAGTCGCCTAATAAGTATAATAACCCACCGTATAACTGCTAACTGAATGATACAAATAATGATACACACTCCCACATACAAGGGACTGAATGGAGTYGTTGGCGATGCTTATTTTCTAGTACTAAATTCGTGTAGGAATTTGTGTACAAGAATACTGCTTGCAGCTCGCTCCCCCCCCCCCTCAGCAAGCTTCATTCATTCTATCGAAAAACTCAGTTTTGCAAGCCACTTGCCCATGGTGGTGTTCCCCTCTATTTGAAGCACTTATACTCAACCTTAGACAGTGAGACTACCACTGTTGCATTTGCCATCTCAATTGTCGATTTAACAAGCCCTTAAACGTTCGAAAGGACCCAGTACAACCTTTGTTTGGTCCAGCTATACAATACGATGCCTCGCAAGAAGAACTCGTCAGCTCCACCAAGCAGCTCAACAAGCAGCAGCTCAACAAGCAG